GGTCTTCCCGAGGACTTGCCTGTCCCAAGTTTTCCCCCGCCCAATAAAAAAAGGCCCCACCCCTCCACCCAGAATCGTGATGCTCGCCCCCCGTCTCCCAGGAGCAGGCGCTCAAGGCACAAGCGCCACTCCTATACTTCTCAGGAGAAGCTGCACTGGATTTCACAGTTGGAGTCCGGTGCTGTGAGTGTGCGGAAGATGGCGCGCGACACTGGTATCTCCCGAAAGTCCCTGGCAGAGTGGAAATCGCGGAAGGATGAGCTGGAGGGCGCGCATGGGGCTCGCAAGCGTCTTCACGGGCGTGGTCGGTCGTCGTGGTACCGCGACATGGAGATCCAGGTGTACTCACGAGTACTTGCCGCCCGAAAAAAGTGCCTCGCAGTGTCGGTCGGCCGCCTGCAGCAGTGGTCGCGAGAGGTGATGAAGAGCCTGCATCCTGAGGTAAAGTGGGCGGGATCTCAGAGGTGGACCGAGTGTTTTAGGCGTCGCTGGAATCTCACTACCCGATCGAAGACCCGTGTCGGCCAGAAACTTTCCTCCGGTGAGTCTGTTGTTGTCGTCGCTCTTGTTTATCCCTGTTGCTCTTCCCGTTCGATGTGCTAATGTATTTTATCGTTTCTGCCTCCCCGTCCCTTCCAGAGTGCGAGACGCAGGTGCGGAACTTCTGGAAGTTCGTGCGACACACCCGCCGACAGTACGGCATTGACAACCGCTGGATCATTAATGCGGATCAGACCCCGCTCTGGCTCGAAATGCCAGCTGAACGCACGGTCGAGGAGGTGGGGGTCCGCTCCGTGCCCATCCGCAGCTGCGGCTATCAAAAGGAACGCGTGACGGTGATGCTCGCCTGCACCGCCAACGGCGAGAAGCTCAAGCCTTGGGTGTTTTTTAAGCGCAAGACAGTTCCAAAGGGGAATTTCCCCTCCGGTAAGCCGAGCAGCTTGTGCAGTCCCGGTAGGATTTGCAAGTGTTGTTTTTTTTTGCAACTGACGCCATTCTCAATGTTGTGCGGATGTGCAGATGTCGTGATCGCCGCACATCCCAACGGGTGGATGGACGCGGACGGCGTCCTCGCGTGGCTCGACGCTACAGTGGGCCCGTACGTCAACCCGAGGTTCGGAGTGCGCAGCAGGAGGGCGATGCTGGTGCTTGACTCCTACCGCGGGCACCTGACTGATCAAGTGAGGGCGAAATTCGGCGAGCTGCGTATCGTGCCGGCCATCATACCAGCTGGCTGCACATCGGAGGTGCAGCCCCTAGACGTCGCGGTGAACCGCTCCTTCAAAGCAGCTGTGCGACAGCAGTACCAGGCATGGTTCGAAAGCGAGGGCGTTGACTGCCTGACTGAAAGAGGTGAGATTTAATTTCTAGGCCTGAGTGTTTTTAAAATATTGACCCTGTTCTAACTGATGGATCTTTCTACGTGTGGCAGGCAACATCCGCAAGCCACCACCAGAGCTGACGCTCAAGTGGATCTCCAAGGCCTGGAAGTCGGTGCCCAAGGAGTTGATCGAGCGCTCGTTTCTCACCTGCGGCATCAGTAACGCGTTGGACGGGTCTCAGGACAGTCTCTGCCTGCAGCACCGGCGGGACGCCGTCAAGGGCGAAGTGGAACTTGACGACGAGATTGCAGCAGATGGATTCTGCTGCAACAACGTAGACGAGCCAGAGTCGGATGGCGAGACCACCCAGGAAGGCACCGCCACTGCTGAGGAGGATGTCTAGGTTGTGTAGGTAGAGTAGATATTTAGCATGATTTTAAAATGTGGTAGAATATGCAGAAAATGCGAAACTTGGTAGCATATCTTGAGAAATTGTAGAATAGCATAAGGATAGCAATTAGAATTACTTAAAATTATAATTGCAACTTCTAAAAAGGTGGCGCTTATAATGTGTACTGCATTAGGGGTGCGCTTATAATCCGTAAGGCTCCAAGGGTGCGCTTATAATCGAGGAGCGGATATAAGCGCCCTCATCCTTTTATAAGCGCCGGCGCTTATCCGAGGCCTGCGCTTCTATCCGGGGGCTTACGGTACTAGAGCTGGAGGCTCTGGTACTGTGGGTACTGCATAGCGGCGATTGTTTCTTTTTTTACCGCTGCCGCAGTCGTCACTACGATATCAAAAGCTGGCTAGGTGCTTCGTACCCGCCAATAATTCCTACCCACTAATAATCCTAGGCAAATTATGGCCCTACAATAATATATGGGGTGCTACAGTATAATTTAACTGCATATAAAATTATTTTGTGATTGTTTTCTCAACACACCTGAACGTTATCCCATTGTTACACTGCATCACTACATTTAGCAGACTAGGATGCATACTTGGAAGAGAATTTACAGCACAATTTCTAGAACCATAATCTCGATACAGTACCTAATCCAATGTGTACAGTATTAGTTGTAGCACAGAAGTTTATTTCAACAGCACCCTCCTCTCTGTGCAGCTGCATCATTTCTTCCTCCTGCTCCTTGTGTGCCTCCAGTACCGTAACCCACCTTAATACCATACGTCTGTTTAACAAGAAAATGCAAACAGTGAGCAGTTGAATACCAGGTTAAGTTGTGCAAAAATATAAAACCAAACAAACAAACAAACCAGCAAACAAACAAACAAACAAACAAAGAACAGGAAAAAAAATCACCTCATTTGAAACATCAAATACGCCTTCTTGAATCTTCTGGTAAATTTTTGCTGCGGTATTTATGAAGGCCTGTAATAGCATGCAAAGACAGACATCAACAAGACTGGCTCGTGAACAGAGCGATACGCTAGGAAACGGGACAGGTACAGCAATGGACAGGTACAGCAACGGGACAGGCACAGCAACGTGACGAAAATACAGAAAAATGCGGAGGTAAAAAAACTCCGAAGGGACGTCGACAGATGGGGAGGACGAGAGGCAGAAAACAGGAACAAGCCGTACCTCCTCCACGTTATGAGCAGTCTTTGCTGAAGTTTCCATAAACACAAGTCCATTCTCCTTCGCAAACTGTTCCCCTTCCTGGGTGCTGACTGCTCGACGATGTGCCAAATCACTCTTATTTCCGATGAGCATAATGGTCATATTCGAGTTAGCATGCTGCCGAGCATCTTCAAGCCAGCTCGTGAGATGGTTAAAAGTTTCTCTCCTGTGTTTAAAAAAAAAAGGGGGGGTGGGGGGGCGAAACATTCTATTGTGAGACGAACATCCCACGGAAGTCAACCCATGGCGGTAGGGCAGAAACTGAAAAGCAATACCTGGTGATATCGTATACAAGTAATGCTCCAGCTGCACCTCGGTAGTATGACCTTGTGATGGACCGAAACGACTCTTGTCCAGCCTGAACACGCGAGAAAGCACGCTCGTTAAGGACGGCATGGAAACCTTACATCCCAACAGCAAGAAAGGCACTCACAGTATCCCAGATCTGCAACTTAATTGGTTTTCCTTCAATAGTAATCATACGTGCGCCGAACTCCACCCCAATTGTCAAGTCATGTACGGGTTGAAACCTTTTGTCCGTGAATTGAAGCAGCAGACATGACTTTCCTACACCTGCCAATACGGAGAGACAAGAGAACAGGGGCGGGGAGAAAGGAGGCGAGAGAGGGGGGACGGAGAGGGGAGAAGGGAGGGCAGGCGGGGTCGGAGAGGGGTGAGTGGGTTGGGGGGAACCGACGTCTCTAATCAAGTCATGACCTCAACGGAAAATAATATGAACTAGGGATATGATCAACGAGGAAATACCTGTGTCCCCAATGATGATGTACTTGAACAAATACGCGTAGGACATCACGACACCGTGGCAAGCTGTCTCTCAAATAATCCGCAAAACTCGCACAACCGCCTCGAAAAAAACACGACTATGTTCGAACGCAGAACAACCCAGAAATTCGAAACCAAGGAGCATACGTGGAAAGATGTGCAAGCGCAGTGCTGTGAGGGTTAGGTTACGATGAAAGGGGATGGCATGGGAGTGGTTGACAGAAAGAGCTCGTTTCAGCCAAGCCCACCCACAAACATGTGAAACTGTGGCACCTTCCCTGTGTCGCCTGCACTTTTCCCTCTGTTGCGAAGAATAGCGTAGTGTACTGCTATGTTGAATGCTTCATACCTAGCCAACAACAACAATTGATCTCAATTCTTCTCTCTTTAAAAGCACATGATTTTGTCCCAACCTGATTTTGTACCGTACACGTTTGTGGTTGTAAAAAAAATATATATATATATATATATATATATATATATATATATATATATATATATATATGGCGTATAGTGCATGCATATGCACAATTCAAAACCTCATAAGACTAGTTCACAATGGGACTAGTCTGTATGAGTATCAAACGTTTGCTGCATGTAGTATGCAACCAGAGACAAAGGTTTCATATCAGTACAATCTAACGAGATTTCATATCAGTATATTCTAACTGGGACCAGATTGCTTTTCAACCTTGCAAATCAAATCTTGCCAAGAATTATAGGCTTTATAGGCTGGCTCTAAACGGGTCGCCTTTTGCGAGCCAGCCTACATAGCACCAAGCTAACACGATTAGAGTCTTCCTTAGCTTTCTTTACCGTCATCATGCCATCCTCCTTCCATTCCCCAAACCTCCCACCAACCCCGTCACACCCGCATCTCTCCCAGCCTAGCCGCATTGCCGCCCTCTTCGCGCTAGTCGCTCTCGCCTCTCTCCTCACCTGCATCTTCCTCTCCCTCCCACCCGCGGCCCCTCCGCCGCTCCCCCTCGTCCCCCTCACCGCCATCGCCGCTGCCGCCCACCCACATGCCGCCGTGACTGCCGCAGGAGGGAGAGGGGGAACAGGACGGCGGTTGCAGGGGCTGCGCGCGCCCCGTGACATCAAGCGCAAGTGGAATGGCGGAAGCTTCCTCGAGTTCTCTGCGGACGAGAGTGCGCGCATTAACGGACTGGGGGGAAGTGGGAGTGCGCGAGATGCGTGGGCGCAAAGGAAGTCGGGGAAAAGGGAACGGAAAACACGGGGAACAGCAGATGGGCAGGCGTAAGCAGGCGGGGCGGAGGGATGGTGTGGCGGGTGGGATGGTGGGGAGGTGGGGGTGGATCCCACGGAAGCAAGTCCGACGCCGTTGGAGCGAGCGACGAGCGCGCACATGGCGGCGTGGCGGAGAGCGCGAGGGCGCTGGCAGTGACGGCGAGGGGCGGGCGCGGCGGGCTGCACAGCGAGGGCGGGAAGACCGTGGGGCGCGGGAGGCCACGGGGGGAGCGCAGGACGCGGTGGCGCCAGGGGGTGTGGCGCAGCAAGTGGAGGGGCGCGGAGGAGGGGGGGAAGGGGAGGCGACGGGGATGCGTGCGGTGGGGCGGCTGGCGGACATGGAGGTGCTGCCGCTGGGGCGGGGAATGGGGGGACGACGACAGGCAGTGGCAGGGGGAGATGAGGGGGGGGGTGCGTGTGAGCGGATGGCAGGGAGGGCAGGGAGGGCAGTGCAGAGGGTGGGCAGACGCGGGGCGCTGGTACCTGAGGAGGGCCGCGGGCCCGCCAACGCCACCGCGCCTGTGCGCAGGGGCGGGGAGAGCAGGGCGCGCGCAGCAGCGGAGGGGCGCGGGCAGTGGCGCGTGCGGCACGTGGCGCTGCACCCGGCAGTGCGGCGCTCCACGGGGCTGCCCCTGCGCTGCCACCACTGGCGCAGCGACGCCGTCTTCCTCCTCTCCGCCGCCCTGCCCGCCCACGGCCTCAGCCCCCTCCTGCCCGTGCGCCCCCCGCCTCCCCCCTTGCTTGTCCCCTCCCCACCAGCTTCCCCTCGAAGCTTTCTCACATACTCCCCTCGCTGCTGTACATCTATCCCACTGCGTTCCCACGTATTCCGCTCTGTTTTCCTACTTACTCCCCTCTGTCTACTTTCCCTCTTAGTCCACCTCTCTTCTACACCACTTGCTTCCCTCTCGGCTTTCTCACTTCGTCCGCCTTCATTCTTTCTTTCTTCCTCACGTTCTGCTCTCTCGCTTCCTCTGCTCGCTGCTCCCCGTGTGCATGCCTCGCTGCCATGCCGTGGTCAGGAGTTGGATGCGCGCCTGCAGTCCGTGGGGCTACAGTACACGCTTGCCCTCGTGCCGCGCAACGTCTCACATGCCCACGCCCTCAGGTCTGTCGCATGCCCGTGCTCTCAGGTCTGTCGCATGCCCGTGCTCTCAGGTGTGTCGCACGCCCACCCATACCTCACCCACCATCTTTTGCATTTCCCTTTCCCTTGCCCTTCCCACTCAATCGCGTTCCCACCCCGTCCGCTCTGCTTGTCGCTCCTGTCCTCTCCCCCACCGTACACCAAAGCTCGTCCTCTCCTGTTTGTCTACCAAAGCTCGTCCCGTAATCACCCGCTCCCCTTCTACCGCCCCCAGGTACGCTCCTCTGTACCGCGCAGCACCGCAGGGCGCGGGGCGAGCAGGGGCGGGGAGGCAGGACGTGCGGTACAGTGCGGCGCACGCGGAGGTGTGGGCGCGCGTGGTGGCGGCGCGGATGCCGTTCGCCCTGGTGCTGGAGGAGGACGCCCTCAACCGCAGCGAGGGCGTTGCCGCCTGGCAGGCGCGCTTCCACATGGTGACCTGGGGGGAAGGGAAGGGGTGCAGTGGGCCACGGGATGCGCTTCCTGCTGCCTTGCTCAACCTGATGCATGTTTTGCCTTTTCCCCTTGCTCGGCCACAGCGCATGTGCCCAACCCTGCCCTCACGCCCATATGCCTGCACCTCCCCTCCTCCCCCGCTTCCCCCCTCCCCCTTCCCCCCCCCCCCAGCTGCTGTGGGAGCTGAATCTGCTGATGCTGCAGCACGGCGACCGCTTCTTCTTCCACGTGCTGCTGCTGGCGCGCCATGGCCTGGCGCCCTACGCGGAGCAGCAGCTGGCGCCGGGCATTGTGAGCGCGCAGCCCAGCGAAGCCATGCACGCCTACCTGCTCTCCTACGCCGGCGCCAAGCGCCTCCTCGCCCTCTCCCGCTTCCACTCGTACTCCCCCCGCCCCTGCCCCCGCCCCTGCTCTCCGCCCCCCTCCATGCCGCCCGCACTTTGCTTTTGCCAGCATCCAGCATGCATGCATGTGCCTCTTGAATCCCTGCATCACCTCCTTCTGTCTTCCTTCTCGCTCTCACCCCATGCTGCCCCCCTGTTGACCGTGCAGGCCAGTGGCAGAGAGCACGGGAGCCATCCCGGGAATGACCATACTGGCAGCGGAGCCGCCTCTCTTCGCCACCACCATCTTCGCCTGCTCGCCCAAGCCCTGCCGCACGCCGCCCCCTGCGCTCTCCCTGCCCGCCTCCACGCGCCTCACCCCCGCCTGCCGCACCACCATCCTGCTCGCCCTGCCTGCCCACCCCTCCATGCCCGGCGCTGCCCTGCACGCCCCCTGGCGCATGCACGACCCTGCCCCCGCCGGCCCACGCCCCTCCATCCCCTCCTCCTCGCCCGCCTTCTGCCCAGACCTCTCACCCGCGCAGTGCCTGCTTGCACACCATCTGCCGCGCCTGCTTCCCAACGTGCGTCCTCCTCCCCCGCTCCTCCTCCCCCCCACGCTGCCCCCCTCGCTGCCCCTCTGGCCGGCCTACGTGCTCTCGCTGCGCCGCTCCCCCCAGCGCCTGCAGCGCGTGCTGCCACTGCTGCAGCAGCACGGCTTCGGGGACGTGGTGGTGGCACACGGCGTGGACAAGGGCAGGGGGCACGGCGCGGGGGGAGGGGCGCAGGGCCGGGGGGAGGAGGCGGAGGCAGAGGCGGAGGGGAACCTGGGCGTGTTTGGGGGGCTGGTGGGGGCGGGGGCGGTGTCGGTGACGCGGCGCTCCATCAAGTGGCACAAGCTGGCCGAGCGACGCCCCGCGAGCGGCTCACGAGGGGGGAGGTGGCGTGCGCTCTCTCGCACTACCTCGTGTGGCTCGAGGTGCTGCGCAGGAAGCTTCCCTACGCCATCATACTGGAGGATGACGTCACCTTCACTACAAGCACTTTCCGGGCCGACTTTGAACGGAACATTGCCGAGGCCAATGAGCTGTTGACACGTCAGCACAGCCCGGAGTCACCACCAGATATCCTGTTTGTGGGGCACATGGGGGTGCTGGCAGGCCACTTCATGCCGCTGCTGTCCCCTCACATCGCATGGGACCCCCTCTCCTGGTGCTCCTTCGCCTACATCATCTCCCACCGCGGTGCAGAGCGCCTGGTGGCGGGCTTTAAGGTCGACGACCCACTTGACTCCCTCTGGTGGCGCCGCCCTAACCTCGCCTTCTGGGCCTTCCAACCCCCCCTCGCCTTCCACCTCTCCTCCCCCCGCCTCAACTCCTCCGTACCACTCTCTCCCCCATCCCCCCCCACACCTCCTCCTCCGTCTCATCCACCTCATCCTGCCTCAACGCACCGCACGGCACACAGCGGCAGCAGCAAGGAGGGGGAGAGCAGCAACAGGGCAGAGGTGGCAGGCAGCAGCAGGGCAGGGGAGGACATGCCTCTGCCAGTGCCCTTGTACCCCAGCGAGGTGCAGCAGGGGGGTGGCCAGTGGATGTGAAGCACCTACAATCTCCCATATGACTTGCCAGCCATTGCCTCTACAAGGCCATTGCAACTCAGGGCGCGTTCCTACACCTCCTGTCAGCCCCACCTCGTGTCACACTCTCGTTGTACAGGGCGTTTCACACATTTTGTCTGGTTCAGTTCGGTGCCAGGCGAGTCTGGCTCTAGCAGAGGGCTGTAGGAGCATGCCCTTGCACACTGCTTGCATGTGTTGAATTGGAAGGATTCGAACAGCAGCATCAATGTTTTGAAAGAATAACGACAATGAATACTTTTATCAATTTGCTGAGCAATGACATTTGGAGAGTAGTTCAAATCACTGTTGCGCCCGAGTTCATGGCACCTGCATCACCCCCGCCAGCAGCAGCATCCTCTTCAGCAGAGCGGGGTTGTGGGGTGTGTGCGCGCCCCCCCATGGCGCTGATGCGATGGCACAGGCGGCACGGCAGAGTGTCAAACCCCGTCTGCAACGCTCGCTGCAGACCCCCCAGCACTCCGCACCTGAAAGGTGAGGGGGGTGAGATGATGGGGAGTTGGGGGGCGGGGGTCGGGCAGCAATGAGTGGGGGCACGGCGCAAAGAGGGCCAGGAACGTGCAGAGGCACACACACATGAAGAGAGCACAGCAGTGCGGTGTGCAGCAGGGGCTCACCGGCGCCATGCGTGCAGGGAGAGGTACTCCGTGGTGTTGGTGCGCATGGCGTGCACGCGCTGCACTATGCTCTCCTGGCTCTCCACCCCGCCCTCCATGAACGACTCCGGTGGGGCAAACTCACGCACGTCTGCCGCCCCGTAGTATATCGGCACACTGCCTGCCGTGAGAGTGCGGGGGATGAGGTGGCACGGTGCGGCATGCTAAACGCTTCTGACTCCCGAAATCCTCTCACGTGCCATCGCCTCCCGGAAGAGGTGGGGATGGCGTGGCGTACGCACACACAAGGGCGTGTGCATGTGAGCAAGAACACATTCTGAGCTACACGTGTAGCCTGTCAAGGGGTGCATGGTGTGTGGGTGGGAAAGTTGAAGCGGGGTGGGGCGGCTACCTGCGAGGAGCGGCAGGAAGAACTTCTCAGTGACGTAGGAGGGGCGGGGGTGGCGTTCGATAGCGAGGGAGAAGAGGAAGTGCGACTGCACGCATGCCAGCTCGCCCCACCACCCCGCATACGGTCCCCCTCGCGCCCCTCCTCCCCCCCCTCCCCCAACTGCCTCGTCCACGCCCGCCATCTCCCGGTCCCTCGCCGTCCATCCTGCCCCCTCCTCTGCCCCCCCTGCACTCCCCTCTCCCTGTTTCTTCTCCCCCTGCCCCTCCTTCCCCTGCCCCTCCTTCCCCTCTACCTTCCCTTGCACCGCTGCACTCCCCCTTCCTCCCTCCCCCACAGCCGCTGTCCCCTTTGCAACAGCAGCACCCTGTGCGCGTGCAGCCTTGGGGGCACGCGAGTACTGGCAGTGGGGGAAGGCGCGGCGCAGGGAGCGGCGCAGCGGGAGGGGCGTCTGCAGGCCGAAGCGGTGTGTGAGGGGGTGCGCCAGTAGCAGCGGCGCTGCTGCCGCCCGCCATGGCGAATAGCTTGATGAGGCGTGGAAGATGGTAAGAGCCTGGGGGGGGAGGATGGGCAAGGGGTGAGGTGAGCGGACAGAGCGGGTGGAAGAAGGAAGGAGTGTAGATGAGTGTCCAAACCTGCTCTGCCTTGTATTCGGTATTGCTAGTAAAGTTAAGCAACGCGAGGAAGGAGCAAGACGAGCAGCAGGGCAGTGCAGGACCAGGAGCAGCAGGGCAGCAAGGCGGCAGGGCACTTACGGGGGACTTGGAGGCAGCGACGAGGGGGTTGTGGTCGGCCAGCAGCAGGTTGCTGGCATACGAGCACTGCACGTCCGCACCCGGGCCATACCCCACCGTCACATCCACTCCACTGCCCCCCTGCGCCCCCTCTTCCCCCTCTCCCCCCTCCCCCTCCGCTTCCATATCCACGTGCACGAGCAGCGGGTCGCCCTTGACCCGCACCCCCCTGGGCGCGCCCCCCTCGTAGAGCATGGCGTCTGGGCGCGCCGCCAGCACCTCACTGCGCGACAGCGTGCACGTGAGGCCGCACGGGCACGCGAAGAAGCCCTCCAGCCATGCGGGCAGCGACGCCGACGCCATGATCTGCACCGCGCCGCGTCAAAGTAATTGAGATTGCAAACTGAAGCTTGCGGTTGCGAGTGCGTTCAGTGCACAACCAGGAAACGGCAGAGGGCAGCAGTGGGAGAAGCAGGTTTGAAAGAGTGCAGGGGCATGTGGGACCGGGTGGGGCGCATGGAGGGTGGAGGGCGCACCTGCACGGTGACATGGGGCAGCTTCAGCAGTGAGCAGTCACTCGCCTCCTCGCCCTGAAAGCTGCTGCCACCACTGCTGCTGCTGTGGCCTGCACGGGCAGCACAGGAGAGTCAGAGACTGCACATGCCAAACCACCCTGCCACACTTCCCACGCAGCCTGCCACCCCTTCCCACACACCCTGCCACCTACCAGACCTGCGTGTTTGGCTCGGAATCGCTCGCAACCCACGACTCGGTCCCACTCCCTCCACGCCTCCTCCACTTGCCACGCTTCGCCCTCCGCGCCCTCCCCCTCCCACGCCCGCCTGCCCCAGCTCGCCCCCTCTGCTGCTCCTGCTGAGCTCTCTGGGGCAGCCGCCCCACCACCGCGCCCGCCCTTCCCCGCATTCTGGGCCGCCCCCCCGCCCGCCTCCCCTGCCTCGCCCGCGGTACCCTGCTCTGCGCCCCCCAGTCCCGCCTTTCCCCCTATCCCCTCTTCGGCCCTCTTGCCCTGCGCCTGCTCGGTCCAGTCTTCGTTTCCCCGCCGGCTGCTGCCCTCACCTCCCTCATCCTCCTCCTCACCGAACTCGCCACTCAGATCGCGCCACGTGTCCCTCTCCCACCCTTCGCCTGCCGCCCACTCCGCCACAGGCGACGGGGCGAGGGATTGCGAGGGGGATCAGGCGCGGGCGATTGGGTGAGACGACGACGAGCGAGAGTGGGCGACAGCTGCGATGGCGAGGAGAGAGCAGGCGACGAGTGGCCTGCGACGGGTGCGACGGGAAGAAAGCGGGCGAGGCAGACGAGGCACAGCGCCCACAGGAGTGGCGCGCGGATAGGCGCGCGACGAAAGCGCGGGGCGGGCATGTGACATGGGTGGGGAAACGCGGCGACGTGCGGAGTGGTCATGTGAGTGACATCGGCGCTGCAGGCATGCGCAGGCGCGCGATGCGTAGTGGTGGTAGATGTATGGCGGCGAGGCGCGAAGGTGTGGTTTTGTGCAAGGACCTAGGGGGTGACAGGCGGAGGTTTTCTTGCAGTTGGGTGAGTGCGGGTGTGCTATTTCTTTTTACCTGTTTCAGGCATGCTGAAGTACCGTACATGCACGTTTCCTGATATCGTATATTGCTTTCAACATCACCATTAGATTCTTTTGGGCACAGCAGAGACAACATTCTGTGCATTGCCACAAGCATTGACATCTGTCAGGCAGCACAACAATTAGCCAGCCTAACAAGCACCGCACAGCACGGTACACCATTCCACTAACAGTCTGGCCCCGCTGCCCTCAACTTCCGCCGCCCCCTATGCCTGCATGAGACGAGGCAAGGCACACACAGCACGGTGAGACAGCAGCAGTGGTGGCAATCCATGGCACCACAGGCAGCGACAAGAGCCGCAATGGCTCGCACAGAACAAAAAGTGGACAGACGAGGACGGGTGTTGGGGGGGAAGGGGGGAGGGGGGGGACAGGGGGGAGCCGGGTGGAAGAGCAAGCAGGATTTTTGGGGAAGAAGAGGGCGGCAAGAAGGGGGGAGTGGTTGTGTGTGGTGGCAGGAGGTGGGCGTTGCACGGACCTGAGGGGTCTAGACGATGGAGTTGGCGGCGCTGGCGACACGAGGCCAGAGATCCGCGCACTCCTTGGCCACCGGACCCGTGATGGCCGACCCTGCCATGCACGCACCACCAATGACAGACAACGGCACGCACGCACACGCAAGACGAATAGACAGTCAGGGCGCGTTGCGTAAGACGAGCGAAGGCATGGTGGGTGCAAGCAATGAGTGGTGATGCAAGGGCATGGAACGCGCGCGGCACGAGGTCGTGACTCACCTTTCATTTCTCCTTTCGGGTTCACGATGACTCCCGCATTGTCTGCACCACACAACCACCGCACATCCACGCAGCAGCCACGTCAGCAACGACTCAGACAGACCGCGAGCATAGAGAACACGGAGGGCCACGAGCGCTGAAAATCCGAAAACCGACAGACGTACTGACAAGCTCTGGCTACTAACGGCACTAGCGCGCAGTGTCACGGAGCGGCAGAATCAGGGCCCAATCTACTTGCTTCCACCCAGCCCTGATTGACCCCACTTTGCCCTACTTTCCCCTACTTAGCCCTGCAGGAAACTAAGTGCCTGACCTTCAAAGTACATAAAGACGCCGTCCTTTCTGCGCCACGGCTTGCGCTGCCGCACGATTACCGCCGGTAGCACTGCGGTGAGGGACAAGGGGAGAGAGTGCGGGTGGAAGTTGAGGCAGCGGAACGACATCGATGAGCGCATGGCAGAACGAAGCACGCCGCCGGACAAAGCGGGCAGCGAGATCCGGTGCTTCCAGCGGCTGTCGAGCAAGCACGCGTCTAAACCCTAGGTTACGGCGAGTAGACGAGCGCATCTGCCCGCAATCTCCACTACACCTCAAACCCTAAAACAGCGCATCGCGCTCCCAGGCAGCCGTGGCGGCGGTAGCGGCGCTCACCCTTTTTACGGAGGTCGGGCTTGCCCTTCTTGACCGTGGCCATGACCATGTCGCCCACGGCGCCGGACGGCAGGCGATTGAGGCGGCCCTTGATGCCGCAGACGGACATGATGAAGAGGTTCTTGGCGCCCGTGTTGTCCGCGCAGTTGAGCACCGCGCCCACCGGCAGACCCAGCGTCACTCGAAACTTGGCTCCCGTCGTCGTTCCACCTGCCACGCAACATCCACACACCGCGCCGCTGCATTTCAGACTTCACGCGCGCAACGAATATACTAGGCTAGGACCCGAAGAGAACTCGTGCACAGCTAAAAATCTGAAGCTAAACGAATACAGGGTAGAACGCCAGAATCCTACAGCCGAGGCGACTTCTAAGAGAGACAGTTAAAAAGGAGGGACGACGATGACGGAACCATCAAGGATAGGAGTGCTTGCCTCGTTTGGACGCCATGGCTGCGTGCTAACCACCTACGAAAGAGATCAGAAAGAATGAGAAGCAGCAGCTAAATAGGGCAGAGAGACCTGCTGAGAGGCGTTCGATCTACTAGCGTCGACGATCATGGACCGTCGATGCTCAGGTGTGAGGGTTTGGCTCGTGCAGAGGTTTCGAGAATGGGAGAGGAGAGGTCGCGAAATCTACATTCATGAATCACAGTTACAATCTGTAAAAAGATTCTTCATTAATTTGGCACACTTGTAGATGTGCTATTTAGGTAGAATTTCAAGTGCAACTTGCTTCAAAGATGGCATCTTGTCTTGTTTGTGGATGCATATCAGCTTCCCGTTTGCATCCTCCCTTAATACCTGCCACGGTCCTGGATATGCCCTGCACCAATCAAGATACAACAATTAGAATATAGGGGGGGCAAGCCAATACATTCCTCACAATCTTTTGAAACATACCTAAACAGTTTGCCTCCAAACCTTCCTTTGAAGTTATGGATGTAATAAGCAGCTTCGAAGAGTGGGAGCAGGCTCTTATTGATTTTTGCCAGTTTTGGGTAGAAGAATGACGGGTAGTCTGCCAAACAAGGCAAACCAAAGGAAGAACAAAGCACGGTCCTTGAGATTAAATGCATATCAGATCATGACTTCAAGGTGACTGGCTTATGATGATGGACTTGACAAGGTAAGAATAATGCAACGGCACTTGTTGCCTTCCTCCATGCAACTCACATCCTGATCGGATCCGATCGAGCTCCCCATTGAAGACAATGATTGGCTGCCCGTTCTTGCTTGCCACGTCACGGTACAGATCATCAACTGCCAGCATTTCTGCACTCATGGTACGTGGGGGACACACCAGCAAGACATAAGACCAGCAGCAAGGAGTGAAAGGCTTCCTGGTATGAAAGGGGCACGGGGCCTGCTGTGAGCTCACGGTGCACAGCAGAGTGGCCTGTTTGTGTGAGCGGGCAGCACGCACCGTTGACGTTGAAGTAGGGGTAGGCGGCCACAAAGAGGCGGTCGGAGGCGGCCACGCGGTGGGCGAGGGGCAGCTTGCGCGAGAAGCCGATGTCCTCCAGCCCCGTGGGCTTGGTCAGACAGTCCAGCGGGAACGCCGTGCCCTCAAACACCTCCTGTGCCGCCGGCAGCTCGTTGGCATCCGGGAAGAACTGTGGCGCACGGCGCAGCGGATGGGGGGGGAAGGGGTAAGGGAGGCTATTAGCACGCAGGGGGACGGATGGGTTAGGGTCACAAGGGAGAGGGGAGGGGCAAGGAGAGGCAGGGAGGAGCCGCAGGAGCGGCATTGGGGCGACGTGACTCACAAGGCGCACGGAGGAGGGCGGGGGGCCTTGAGAGGCGAACATGAGGCAGTACTGGCGCAGCATTTGCATGCTGTTGGTCATCTCTATCCCCCCCTCCGCATCGCCTGCCATCCAACAGCGTGGGGCAAGTGCAACGACGTGGGGAGGAGCATCCAGGAATGGGGAGGGAAGCACCGAGGAATGGGGAGGGAAGCATCCAAGAATGGGGAGGGGAGCACTGGGCAGAGGTGGATAAGAGACAAGGCAACTATTGGAAACAGGATAGGGCAGTAGAGAACAACACGAGTTGCTATGTGCGGCGTGATGGCATGTGCAATGTGCGGCATGATGGCATGGGATGTGCGGCATAACGGCACGTTCACTTCTGCAGCACACCTGGCACGGAGTCAAGGCTGGCCGTGGGAAACTCAACCTCCTGATGGGGCATCATGGCATCATGACACGAAAGCATAGTGGAACACAACCAACAAAGGCGTGAGGGGGGAGGGGAAGTGGGGGGTTGCTTTGAGAGAAACACGACGAGTCAAATGAGGCACCTTTAATGCGGCAATCCGGTAGTAGGAGGCAATGCGGTGGTACTGTGCGGTACCACTCTGTGCGTCTCACCAGCAGCGTGCGGCCGTCGGCGAGAGCTGCTTGGGTGGCTTGCTGTGCCTGCAGCATGGGAAACACACACGCATCAAAATTGCTGAGCTGGCATCTTGGACAGCTAGGACTTTCACCAAGTCGCTAACACAGTGGCATGCGCGCGGATGGACGGGCAATGCAATGCTGCCTCCGCGCTAGCGCCCTTTGCGCGCATTCCTTGCTGCGCGCGCTACCTGTCGGATGGCCTCGTCGTAGTCGCGCGGGAACGCCGCCAGCTCGCCGCCGCCTACCGCCGCCACCGTGAGGGCCGCCTTCGCATTCACGGCGCGCTGCCGCCGACCGCGGGAGCGCGACGAGCATCCATGGTCGAGGGGGAAGAGGACGCCAGCGAGGGCGGTGCGCGCATGCAATGCTGCGCGCAGCGGGAAACATGCGGGCAGGCGGCGATCGCTAGCGAGGGGAGCGCAAGACTGAGCGCGCGCTGGAGCGGCGCTTGCGGGGGAAGCAAGCGCTGCAGGTACAAGGGGGCGGACGACGGAGAGGGCGGAAAGCGGCATGGTGGCGGGTTGGTTTGGGTTGGGAGCGACCAAGGGCGAACCGTGAGATAGCACTGGGATTTCCGATATCCGCGATTGTGAGTCGAGAGTGATGAGAGACTGCAAGAAAAATGGAAACTGTACAAGCACGTTAATATAGCTAAGCTACCTAGTGCATAGCTAGCAATACTTTAAGCTACCACAGGACAGGACCCACTGATCCTTCCTATTCAACTAATCAATCACTCCCCCCCCCCCCTTGTGACCACATCAAATCATATCGAGCACGCGCCTCAACTGGTCCCTAACAATGGCCATGTCAGGGCGGTTGTCACGCTCGTACAGGATGGCAGAGCGGATGGTGGCCAGCACGATGGCGCTGTGGGCGGGCTGCCACTGCCCCGCCAGCAAAGGGTCCAGCACCTGTGAGGGGTCCGCCTCGCGTGCCACTGCCACGGCCTTGCGCACGGCCTTGAAGCGCGGGCCCTGCGCTGATGCGCCTGATACAAGCTCCAGCAGGAAGATGCCAAACGCGTACGTGTCTGACAGACGCGTCAACGTGCCTGGCAGGGGGCGCACACGGTAGGGGGGTGGGTGGGGGGTTGAGAGGGAGGGGTGAAGCCAAGGTAAAACAGCACGGACAGCAAAAGGTGATGTGAGATGCCATCACATGTCATCGCAAGGGTGTGACGTGCTGCTATGGTGCAGTGCTGCTGTGCATATGGCATGGTGCAGTGCTACTGTGCACATGGCATGGTGCAGCGGGGGGGGGGGGGGGGGAAGCGTGGAGGGCAGGTGGGGGACCGGAGTCGAAGTAGGCGGGGTCGATGTAGGCCATGGAGGCGGCGCCCCTCATCTGCACGTGCATCTTCCAATCCGCCACCACCCGCGCCAACCCATAGTCCGCCACCACCGGCGTCCCGTCCTGCCCAGAGCCGCAGCAGCAGCAGCAGCAGCAGGGGTAGGGAGGGTGGGTGAGGGAAGAAAGACAACATCTTCTATTGTGAAACAGAACATGATTGATCTAGCCATGGTACTATGGTGAGGCCGAAAGATGGAAGGACGATGGGGAAAAGGATATAATGTGGGCATGGAGGCAGCAGCAGCTCACGGGTTGCAGGAGGACGTTGGAGGCTTTGAAGTTGCGGTGCACGAGGTTGAGGCGGTGCAGCTGAGCCAACACGTCCGCACATGTCCACGCCATCTGCACGCGCTCCCTCCACCCGAACTGCACCTCTCCCCGCGCCACTGCTCCGCACACATGTGCAAAGGATCGAGAGGGGATATGCAGCATGAGATGCGGTTTTGGCATGGCACGGCATGATATGCATTAGGCTTGCGATGAGCACGATGAAATGCTGAGCATTATCAACTACTCCACCGTGCCGCTCACCTCTCACCATCAGCTGCTGAGCACGCACCTCGTGCCATGAGCTGCTGAGCACGCACCTCGTGCCATGAGCTGCTGAGCACGCACCTCGTGCCATGAGCTGCTGAGCACGCACCTCTGCCCATGAGCTGCTCCACGCACCTCGTGCCATGAGCTGCTCCACGCACCTCGTGCCATGAGCTGCTGAGCACGCACCTCGTGCCATGAGCTGCTGAGCACGCACCTCGTGCCATGAGCTGCTGAGCACGCACCTCGTGCCATGAGCTGCTGAGCACGCACCTCGTGCCATGAGCTGCTGAGCACGCACCTCGTGCCATGAGCTGCTCCACGCACCTCGTGCCATGAGCTGCTCCACGGTGCCGCCCTCAATGAAGTCGCAGATGATGATGGGCGGCCGCTGCGCCACGTACCCGTGCACGCGCAAAAGACTCGCATGCCTCCCCTCCTCCTCCACCAACGTGCACTCGTGCTGCCCATGTGATCGTTACATGGGCGTGTGTCACATGCCATATGCCATGTGCCATGTACCATGTGGCATGGGGGAAGGGGCACGGAGCAACAGGGGATGCAAGTGAGCTGGCTGCACAAACGAAGGCCCGCCAAGACAAGGCAAGGAGGGAGGGATAGGACAGACGACCACTGAGTGCATCCATGCTTGCATCACTTCCCCCTTGCCCCCCTCTTTCCCCCACCCCCTCCTCCCCCCCTCTCTCCCCCCCCACTGACCGCGAAGGTCGCCAGCCCCCCCACGCCCGTGACGGGGTCGCCGTTCAGCACCTTCACCGCCACCGGGATCAGCGCGCGCGCGCCCACACCTTCCGCGCCCTCCCCCTCCGCACGCGCGGCGTGCGCCCACATGAAGCCCTTGTACACGAACCCGAAGGGGCCGCGCCCCGCGAGCGCCTTGAAGCCCTCCGTGGCGTGCAGCGCGTCCTCAAACGCGTACTCGCGCACCCAGCCCCGCCCGCGCTCCCCCTCCCCCGCCGCCCGCACCGTCGGGTACACAGGGTCTGGCGCGCGCGAACGGGGAAGAGGGGAGCGGAAGCGGGAATAGTGGGGGAGGGAAGAGGGAGGGAGTGAGCTCTTGATGGTGAGCGGAGAGCGAGGTGAATAGCATCAGACGAGCAGAGCAGCGTGCTGACACGGTCTATATCGGTGCTTTCGGTGATATCGCGGCAGGTCGTCGCGAGGCGTTGCTAGTGAGGGCGTGATGGCGGCAGGGGAACGAGGGTGGCGTTTTGGACAGAGAGTAGCGCGAGCAAGAGAGTTAGAGAGCGGGGGGGGGAGGGGCAGAACGGCTTACGCAGTTCACCGTCGCCCACTGGTCGCGAGAATAGCCCGCCCATGACGCTGCTCGTCGCTTGCCGTCGCACGGCGACGGCGACGCCGCGACCTGGCGACGGGCGGTCAGGATGGTCGCTGGCTGGCTCGACGGGTGGTGTCCGGCAGTCACGCGCCGGTGAGTCGCGGCGACGGAGAGAACGGACGGCTACGATGTGGCTATCTCAAGTGGCCTGAACTGGAGTGCCGTGAAGTTCTCAAGTTATGCAATCGACCATGGCTCATCGTGGCGTGACGGCCGCAAGTTAATATCTGCACACTCGACTCGCCGCATGAACCTCTGCCTAAAACGAGTCGGCTAATAAGGGGATTGATGTCGTGGAGTTCGCGTGTGTGCGTCGTAGTCGGCTAAAGATTCCTAGCTTGGACTCGAGCTGTAGGGAAATAGTTGTCACACTGGTGTCTCGAAATTGGCTTTCCAATAATCCCAGCTGCGTCACACTGAAGTGCCTCACGGCTCCTCGCTTCAACGCGTCGTGCGCTACTACTGCCGTTGACCGCACCCTGCTGGATTGGCCGAGTGACGAAAGTCAAGTCAGACTCGCGAAACAGTGGGGATCACCCGCGCGATGCAACCAGCGAGCAGCTGCGAAACAGTGGAGTTCCCTGGGGTCGGTAGGTCGGCGGGAAAAGTTTGTGTTTCGCCGGTTTCGCAAACAAATGCACTTCGTCTCGCCCAGCCGCTTACAGTATTGCGACTAGCCTGCCTCAATCCTGCGACCAGCACGACCTTTTTGTTGAGGCTTTCACGGACACACCACGAACGTTAGTGGAACGCGGGACGCCGCTTGGGACCGACGAATGGCTCCCCCGAGGAGTCTTAAGAGGCCTGGGATATCCCTTGTGCATTGGTTCCGGTGACCGTTAGGCAGTTGACCATTCGTGCCGATCCGCAGCAATAGGAGCAACTGGACAAGCGCTCGGCATTCCCGAGGACGTGGCCATAGATCGCGCGACTTGCTGACTCGCGCCGGCTTTTCTTAACTTATTGCAACACGCGCCGTTCGCCGCCCTAGACGAGTCGAGAGTAACCGTTGCAAAAAGGCCGCAGTCGAAACTCACTTCTGTCCGACTCGCTTCTCGCTGCCCTCTCCTCCCGTGCCGCGTGGCGCACTATACGTCCGCCACGTGGCGATGGGGTGCGCCGCGTCGCACGCGAGAGGCTCTGAAACACCACCACCACCGCGGCTGGGATCATCGCGATCAGGTGACGCGTGCTCGAGGTTTGCTCCCGTAGCAGGTCAGGTGCGGTGCCGCAGATGAGGTGCGCTGCAGCAGGTACGGTGCTCTGCAGTAGCGATGGCGCGATCGCGGTAGCGTCAGCACCCGCTCCTACTGCCAGCGACGTCATGACGCCCAACCCCTCAAATCGCCCCCCTCCCGTCCCCCCTTGCGCGCCATCCTCTCTGCCCCTCCCCCGTCCCCTCCGCGCTCTCTCTTCGACGCTCCCCCGCGCACCTCCTTCTCCCCCCCCCACCCAGACGCGCGGTCGCCGTACCCGGTGCGCAAGTCGGCGGAGGCGGGCGGGGGCGTGTGCGAGTACAGCTACCAGGAGGTGCACGCGGCGACGGGCGGGTTCCAGCACGAGGTGGGGCGCGGCGGGTTCGGAGTGGTGTACCACGGGTACCTGGCGGAGCCGCCCGGCGTGCCTGGCGGCAAGGGCGCGGGCGTGTGGGCGGTGGCCGTGAAGCTGATGAGCGGCGAACACATCGCCAACGGCATCGACAGCTTCATGGTGCGCCCTGCACGGGGGGAAGGGGAGGGCAGGGGGATGGTTTGAGAGGGTGGTAGGGGTTTGATGGGAAACAAGGAAATGTGATTTGACTGCTTTTTCGCGAGCTGCCTGCCTGCTAGCCATCTTCTTCCCAGCCACGCCCTGCTATGTCCACTCTAATCTCTCCATGTCACTCCACCCTGGAACCTGCTGTTCACCCCATGGTGCATGGTGCCATGGGGGAATGGCATGGTGCATGGGCATGGGGGCATGATGGCATGGGGGCGTGGGGGCATGGCAGACGGAGGTGGCGGTGATGGCGAGGGTGCATCATCCCAACATCCTGCGTCTGGAGGGCTATGTGGTGGGCGCCACGCCCATCCTCATCTACGACTTCATCCCCAATGGCGATGCCGCCTCCTACCTCGCCAAAGGTGCCACCCGCTGCCCACCTTCTCGCCTGCTCTCCCCCTCTCTTCCGCTCCCTGCTATGCAACCTGCCATTCATCCGAGGCACTGGCCGTGTCGGCCATTCATTCATCGCGGTCAATCAATCTCCCTGCTGGCATCCCGCATTCTCCATCCATCCCCTCCGATCTCCCTCTCCCCCACGGTGCAGCTCGGAGTGGAGAGGTGCAGTTTGGGTGGGCGGACAGGCTGAGGGTGGCGCTGGGGTGTGCGGAAGCGCTGACAGCCATCCACGCCAATGGCTTCGTGCACCGCGACTTCAAGGCGCCCAATGTGCTGCTCAGAGAGGTGAGCCCCTCACGTGCTGCTGCGGGAGGTATGTGTGTGCTGCTAAGACAGAAGGTCTCCTCATGCATGCCCTGCAGCAGGAGACGCACTTCCATCATCCTTAGCCCCTCTCACCCCACTGCCCTGCGCCCGCCCTGCACAGGACCTGACGCCAGTGGTGGCGGACTTTGGGCTGGCGCGAGCGGTGGACGACTGGAAGACACACGTGGAGACGAGGGTGATGGGGTCCGTGGGCTACATCGACCCCATCTACTTTGAATCAGGTCACTTGCCCTTACCTCCCTGCCATCAATCATTGCACTCAGTTCCTTCAGTTCTTTCTTTCAGAATCGTTACAATGACCAGCCAATTGCAGAGGCATTTTATTGGCTCATTCTTCATTCAAACATTGCTGTGAACATTGTCCTTCTCTGCCCCTGCAGGCAACCTGAGCAAGAAGTCGGACACGTATGCGTTTGGGATATTCTTCCTGGAGCTCATCTCGGGCACGTCTGCCCTGGACAGCAGCTTCAAGGAGCTGCGGCGCCTCGTGACCGGCAATGACTACCCCGATGCCGCTCTCGTGATGGACCCGCACCTGGCGGGGCAGTGGCAGCTCAAGCACGTGCTCGTGGCCTTCACTCTCATCAAGTTTGCTATCTTCTATGACTGGGAAACTAGACCAGGGATGGACGTTCTTATAAGAAAGCTCAAGGATATTGTGTCTGAAGTTGAAGCAACATCTGGCGTTAGAGAAATGTGACAAGCTTAATACCGGTAGGCCAATTCAGTGCTTATTTTGTCAAGATGATTAGCTAGCTGCACAATCTGATGGGTGGCCGAGAAGACCCTGCAGGGCAGATGCGGAAGCAGGTGCTGCTGGTGGGGTGGACTTCCTTCACCCTGAAAAAAGGTTGGCCATTTTCTTGGACGGGGACTGGTGCGAGCACAACGCTGGCCAGGCATGGATGTGCTGTCGGTTTAGTGAGTGCTGTTGCCACAGGGCAGAATGCACATTAGTGAATTCTTTGCTAATATAGCTGCATGCAGGTGGTATTTACAGGGTATCTTGGTGGATCAGTCAAAATTGAAGTTGGACCTCAAAGTTGATGGTGGGTTGATTGTTCTCCGCACGATGCTTTCTTTCGCGTGCGCCTATATCGCGAATATGGTTCGCGTTTCGGCAATAAACCACCGCTCAAATATTGACTCATTTCCGCACTCAGCGCCGCCAGTCTCGCTCATTCGTTTTCCTCGACTGCGGAGATTCGCAATCTCGATCCCATTTCACCCTCTTCCCAACCCACGATCATTGCCCCACGAACCACATGCAACACCCCTTTTACTCTCTCGTCACCTATTTCCCTCCCTTCCCCGTTTCTCCAGCCGGTTCTTCCGCCCTTCAGTGGTCCTTGCTGCGCCCCCCCGTCAGCACTAGGAGTTGCCCGCACCAGCCACACGCGCTTCCCAGCTTTGATAGAGAACATCGCTCCCAGCTGGTTTAGTACACAGCAGCCCGCTCGCCAGTGTCCAATCTTGAACATTGCGGCGCATTACAAATCCGCACACCGTCATCTCGGCGCATCGCATCCCAGCGTATCACATCTCAACTAGTTGCATCGCACCGCGTCGCATTTCGGCGCAGAACAAGTCAACCACATGGCATTCGACCAGCCGTGGGTACCCGAGGGCGCGTGGACCACGTCCGTCTTCGCGTGCTGCGACGACGTCCCCTCTAGTGAGTGCGCCGCGCTCCCTCTGCACCCAGACGCTCGCATAACCGCGCGTGCATCGCTGACCCCCAGCGCGCCCGTTTTGCCCGTTGTCGTCGTGTCGCTTGTGTGTGCGCAGTGTGCTGCGCGGTGTGGTGTCCGTGCGTCATGGTGGGGCGCAACGCCAAAATCGTCACCGACGGCTTCACAGGTGACCCACTCGGGCCCCAACTCATACCATTCTGGCACGTTGGACGCTAACTCGAGCTACCTCGCACCGCTAGGGCTCCTCCATTTAATCGAGTCGCTCTATTCCCCTCTCGTCGTTCCCTTCGCCCCGCAGACCCGTGCCGCGCGTGCGTCGGGTGGGCGTTCCTCCAGCTCGCGTGCAGCGGCGCCTTCTTCGCGCGAGGTCAGCCGCGCTGCCCTCTATGCCGTCATTCTCTCCCGCACGCTCTCCTCGCCGCTCCCTGTCAACTCTTTTCTATACATTGTTTCACCGTCTGATGTTGTGTCGTCTCCTTAGGTCCTGCTCGTTTGTGTGCGCTGCCCCGCGCGCTGCAGATTTCCGCAAGCGGCTGCGCGAGAAGTACATGCTGCGCGTGCTGCGCCATCACGCAGGAGCACCGCGAACTGCGCAACCGCGGATGGGACCCCGCGCTAGGTGCGTGCGAAGCATCGCATAGCGTAACGAGCACCTGTTCCTGCACTTACGATCTCCGCACCCATTTGCACTAACACTAATGTTCCTCTCGCCTCTCCTCGTGCACCCTCAGGCTATGCGGGCAACGTGCGCAAGTTCCAGGCGTGCTCTCCGCCCCCCCAAATGGAGATGCTCGCCGACCAGTAGCGCTGGACCCTCCCCTGCCTCTGTACTCTACCTCTGCTCTCTCATCCTTATAGTAGATGATCTTAGGTATCGGGCCCTTCACATCTTGCTGTGCATATAGATGGATTTACACCAAACGAATGCTACAACATATCCCTGTGCAACACAGAGTCCGATCGTTGCTTCTAACGCTACTACTACTGCCCCCGCGCTCAGCATGACGGTCTACTGAAACAACTAGCTACGCGGCTTTCAGCCACCAGTCAGCACGGGCACTGCCGTGCATGCTCTCCCACAGGGTGCCACCGCGACCGCCAGGGGATCCCGGCGGCACCTCCAGCGGCGGATGCGGCAGCTCCGGCCCCTCCGGCACATGCGGCGGGCCTGGGATCTCCGGGATTTCCGGCACCACGTTAGGCGGCGTCGGCACCTCCGGAATCTCGGGGGTTCGCTCCGGAGGGTTGGGAATCTCGGGGATCTCGGGAATAGTGTCGGGCGGGGTGGGGGAGGGGACTTCGGGCGGGGGGAAGGGCGGAAGGTTTGGCGGAGGGGTTGGTTTTGGGGCTCCGGGGGGGGGGATGGGGACGGCTTCGGGAGGTGGCGAGGGCGGGGGGACTTCGGGAGGGGTGAGCGGGGGAACGTTGGGCATGGGGACGGGGGGCGCCCTCGGGACGATCTCGGGGCTTGCGGGCTGCCCTCCGCCGCGACCCGGCACCTCCAGGGGGAGGTCGGGACCTCCGAAGACGTGTATGCCCGCGATGCCGCGCGCGCACTCTGCCGCTGATGGGTCGCGCGAATACTGCAGCGGAGGGGACTGTAAGAGGGACGCATCCAGTGCGCATGCCCGTTTGCTGTGTGCTGATACAACTTGCACGCACGCGCTCAGACCTGGGGAGAAGTTACGCGCGATTGATGGATGGTGCGAGTCTGCCATGTGATAGATGGGCCTGCCGAAAAAAAAAAAAGGAAATAAGTAAAAAGAAAAGCACGTGAAGGAAGAATTCGGCAGGTTGATACTGAATTTCACAATTATTATAGATCAGAAGACTTAGAGACGTACCTCACCAAGGAAGAGCGGATGCACGGCCACGCCATGGATGGGCAAGAAAGCGCCATGGAGTTCTGATGTGGGGCTATAGACCGTAGCGTGAAACGGAGACAGGAGTAGTGGTGCCGTGGGCGGGACAATCGACTATACCAAGGCGCTAAATTCTTGATGGGGAGGAATTTCATCAAGGGTGCTCAATTTCATAAATCCAACGACGGATTGCCTGCCAATGTGCACGGCATGTGGGGGTCGCAAATCCGTTGCGGATAAAGTGTACATCACAACCATTGGAAAGAAATGCGCAAAGAATAGGGCAGCTTACCACATCGTGAAGGCGGCAAAACCATATCAGAGCGAGGTTTCGATCCTCGGACCTGTGGGTTATGGGCCCACCACGCTTCCGCTGCGCCACTCTGATGTGCTTTTCATTCGACGACACCTTTTCCGGTCATTTCATTTATTTCCCTCGCTAGCCTCTTCTCACGTCATCTGTCGCCTAGAAGGGCATTTCAACTATGGCGGTGCGTGCAGACAATGTCCGTCGTCGCGTCGCACACCATGCCGTCTTCCCTTTCGCCTCCTTCGTCCATGCTCACTGCGCGCTCGCCATCCCTCACCCTTCCCCGTCGCAGGCGCCGAAGATCCCGGTGGAGCTGCAGCTGGCGGCGGACGACGCGGCGTGGCTCGCGCAGATGGCCGCCACGCACGGGCTGCCCGACGTTGGTGCGTCGCGCCGCGCTGCCATGGGGAATTGCGCATGCGTGCATGCACGGGGTGGGGGAAGGGGAACAAGGGTTGCTGTTGATGCTGAATGTGGTGATTTGTGGCGCATTCGCCAACGAAAGAACGTCCCTCGCATGTGTAACCGCCTTTCGCTCTCCCTTCTCCCACCATCTTCTCCCTGTCGCCGCGCGCAGGCAAGGCGCTGCGCATCGTGCTGACGTATGCCCGGGACGAGAATCTGGGGGCTCTGGGCAGCAAGGAGGTATGGCATGCTGACGTATGTCACCGTAGTGTGCAGTTCCCATGCCAGTCCATGCGCTGTATCCTAATGCTCACCATGCCATGCCACGGATTCTCAGTGTGCGCCATTGCAACGTGTGTGGTGTGAGTGTCATGGCAGGCCATCCAGTCGCCCTCCGCGTCGCTCACCTCGCATTCATTCGACATCGAGTCTTTCGTGAGTCACACCTACCCTGCCCCCCTCCTGCCATGCCTGCCCCACTTCTCCCTTGTCTTCCCCCTTCCTGCCGTGCCTGCCCCCCTCCTGCTGTACCTGCCATGCCTGCCCATTCCCCTCGTGCTGCAGAGGCATGTGCTCACATCAACTGCGTCTGTACTCGCTTGCACTGTCATGCGACCATGTCAAAGTACCTCTGCCTTTCCTCTTGCATACAAGTCATGCCATCACTCCTTGCCGTTGCCATCTTCCCGCGACATTGCCATTCACGAGCATCAGCATGAGGACGTTTTGAAGAAGATACAAGAAGCAAACAACTGCGACAGCGTTAGTGAGGTATGCTGCCACGTGGCATGATGTGCTGCCTCATGTTATTCTGTAACTGCCTCTTGTCATGAGGTGCTCGCCCATGCCATAGTCTGCACTGACATGCTGCTGTGCGCCATCAGATGCCACAGCAGCCTGCACGGCACACTGCTGTCTCACTCTCTATCACCCACTCATCTCCACCCCCTCTCCACCATACCACCCCCACCGTGCCTTTCTCTCCGCCCTGTGCCCGTCCTCTCTCTCGTGCAGGCGGTGCGGGTGTTGCTGCACCACGTGCAGGCGGCGGTGTCAGAGGCAATTCTCTTTGGCCTCGTGCGCTGCAAGCGACCCCTCAACTGCACCTCCTGCCCCGCCCACGCCGCTGCTGCCGCTGCCAAGGCTGCACCCTCTGCTGCGCCTGCCGCTGCCGAGTAGCTGCTGCCACCAGGCGGGTCAGGGGCGTTTATTGCATACTGCTGTAGGTCCAATGCAATGCCTGCATGCTGCTCTCTGTAGGCTTGCAAGTGCTGGAGAGATGTGGCTTTCAGTGTTTACCTCCGTGTGTAAGTAGATGGTGGAACTGGGTTGCTCATTTTGAGTACCTGTGGTTGTGAGGCATGAGTGCTAGCATTAGTGAGGTCTGCAGGGCAGGCAGGCAGCATGAAGCAGGGAGGCGATGCTGCTGCTCTAGAAGAGGCAACACAACACAGTGATGCTGTGAATGCAGGAAGGCCGTGTATGGCAGTTGTGGCTGTGGACAGTTCTGGTTCAGTGCAAACCTTACAGAGCAGTATACAGAAGGGAGGGGACATACCGGTACAAGTAACAAAACAAGCACCGAAGGTACCGTACCTGCACGCCTCAACCTGCTGCTCCCCTCCAGTGAGCAGCACATCTCCCACGTCCCAATGCGTGATGCTTTGCAACTTTGTATTGCTGTGTAAACTGCACAGCAGTGCTTTGTATTGAGATCCAGACCTCACTACGGTACTCTCCATGACTGGAAAACGACTTAACGGGCTCAAGCAACCTTACTACGGTAGTAAAGTTGGCTCTATATGTCCTCCACCTATCTCATGAATCCTTATGAGCGGTTTGCTACCGTATAGTAGCACTCCTCCCACCTCCCAACACCCACCCCCCATCAGCCATCATCCCTCGCGCCCCACAGCAGGGCGCTCCCACTCGCCCTCTGCCTCGCCCTCACGCTGCACTGCAGTGCCGCCCGCAAGAGGCAGGTCTTGTCTGAAAGAATCAAATCCCAAGCCGCCCAGCATCGGCACCCCTCCGCTCCTCCCCGCTGCAAACCGCTGCCTCTTCTCCTCCATACTCACAACGCTCCCTCCCTCACCCCCACTCTTACTCCCACCCTCTGTGCCTGTGCCTGTAATAGTGCTGTCACCTGACTCTGCACCACCGTCGCCCCTTCTCTCCCCACCCTCCCCTCCTTCAAAACGTCCCACTGCCCCCACTGCTTCACCATCAGCCCTCCCAGCAGCGCCACTCACCACCTCAGATTGCTCGTCCTTTTCCGGCAGTGGCGAGTGGCCGGCGCTGCTGTGGGGCGGCGGGAACTGGGCGGCAACACCACAGAGCTGTGCGAGGTGGCGCACGGCGCAGTAGATGGACGGGTGCGCGGGGAGGGCTGTGGGCGGCAGGGGTGGATGGCAGTGCGGATGGAAGGCGGGCCGGGTGGCGTAGGAGACGTGCAGTGAGAGCACTGCACGTGCAAAGATGAACCTGTGGGGGGGAGTGTGGGGGAAGGTAGAACGGGGCAGGGTGCAGGAAGGGAGAGAGTGGGGGAGGGGCAAGTTGGAGCATCGAGGCATGATGCAATGGCATGAACGCAGAAGCTATCAGCAGGGCGTGATGGCAGTATGGCGATGGGGGGCATGGGCGTGGCAGGGGGGGTGTGGGAGTGAGAGGTGACTGGCACGCACCTTAGGAGGAAGAGGCGCAGGAAGGGGTCGAGCAGCAGGCGCGCCCAGGCGAGGGGCAGTGTGGGGCAGGCAGCGAGGGATGAGCCCCACTGCGATAGCTGCATGGAGAGCTGCCTCTCCCACCCCATGTACTGCTCCTGTAAGGGCAAGAGAGGTGGCGGGAGAGGTGGAGGGCGGGGTTGGTGAGTGGATAACGAGGGGGACAGGGAGCAGTACGAACACAGACAGCAGTACCTTGGGAATACCGGTAGCAGTACCTTTGGAATGTCGGGCAGCGGCACGGCAGTGAGGCGGCAGAAGGCCTGCAGAGGGGCGGTGAGGAAGAGCGTGAAGAGATTGCCGCCTGCCAGGTGGGTGGCTGTGGCGAGGGAGACGGTAGGCGGTGCAGCAGAGGTGAAGGAGGAGGAGGAGGGGGTTTCAGACGTGGGGGCAGCAGACGGCGCAGTGGAGGGGGTAGAAGCAGTGGCGGTATTGTCGGCAGCAGGAGGCTCTGCTGCCACGTCAGCAGCAGATGAGGTAGGTTGAGAGGAGAGAGAGGTGGTGCCATCGGCATTGGCGGTGGCAGTGGTAGTGGTGGCAGGTTGGGAGGGGCGGGGAGCGGTGCTGATGTCTGGCTGCAGGCGCGGTGATAGCAGCATGGCACACGGCTCTCCTCTCTCCCTGCCGCTCAGCCACTGATGGGGGCGATGGGGAGGGGGGCGAGGAAGAGGATGGGGATGAGAAAATGGGGGTAGAGAGGAGGAAGGACACAGGAAAAGTGCAGCAGCACATGCATGGCTACTGTCACACTGACCTGGAAGGCAGCGCTATTGTCACACTGACCTGGAAGGCAGCGCTATTGTCACACTCACCTGGAAGGCAGCGCTATTGTCACTATCCACTATGAGCACGAGAGGGCGGCGGGTGAAGGGCAGGATGTCAGCCGGTAGCAGACAACACATGCTCGCCGCCTCACCCTCCCCCCTCGCCCTCACCCACACGCCCCCTCCTGCCACGCCCCCATCCCCCTGGCGCCCGTCTGACTGCTCCTCCCCCTCATGCGCCCCGCCTCCCCCTTCAGACTCAAACGCCGTGCACGCACTGCTGTCCGCCCTGCCCTCGGCTTTGCCACCAGCGCCCCCCTCAGCTGCCCCAGCCGTCACTGAAGCTGCTGCTGCAGGTGCGCCACCCACCGCAGCTGCCTCTGGCGCCACGGCAGCACTGCTAGCAGCAGCAGCGGGGGCAGCAGCAGGTTGCGAGGCGGCAGGATGTGTGGCAGGAGGTGCAGCAGTGGGGGCGAGGGAACCAGCAGCGGAGAGGTAGAGCAGCAGGGCGGCATGAGCAGGCAGCTCCTCCACCGCTGTTGCCAGCACCATGAGCAGGTGCGGCACGGAGGGGCGGTGCAGCACGTACTTGTGCGGGTTGGGCGGCAGGCTCGCATCCACCACGTTCTCCTCCGCGCCGCCCACCAGGCGCGGCCCCTCGCCGCCCCCGCCGGCCGCACCGGCCGTGGCAGTGAAGCCGTGAGCAGCAACGCCGCCTTGCTTGGCGGGCAGGAAGAAGCCCGAGGGCAGCCACTCCACTGCCTGCAGCATGCGGAATGCATCCAATGTGACCTCGCTCAGCTTCACCTGCGAGCATGAGAGGAGAGAGGGGGGTGATGGGGTGAGAGGAGGAAGAAGCCCGAGGGCAGCCACTCCACTGCCTGCAGCATGCGGAATGCGTCCAATGTGACCTCGCTCAGCTTCACCTGCGAGCATGAGAGGAGAGAGGGGGGTGATGGGGTGAGAGGAGGAAGAAGCCCGAGGGCAGCCACTCCACTGCCTGCAGCATGCGGAATGCGTCCAATGTGACCTCGCTCAGCTTCACCTGCGAGCATGAGAGGAGAGAGGGGGGTGATGGGGTGAGAGGAGGAAGAAGCCCGAGGGCAGCCACTCCACTGCCTGCAGCATGCGGAATGCATCCAATGTGACCTCGCTCAGCTTCACCTGCGAGCATGAGAGGAGAGAGGGGGGTGATGGGGTGAGAGGAGGAAGAAGCCCGAGGGCAGCCACTCCACTGCCTGCAGCATGCGGAATGCATCCAATGTGACCTCGCTCAGCTTCACCTGCGAGCATGAGAGGAGAGAGGGGGGTGATGGGGTGAGAGGAGGAAGAAGCCCGAGGGCAGCCACTCCACTGCTTGCAGCATGCGGAATGCATCCAATGTGACCTCGCTCAGCTTCACCTGCGAGCATGAGAGGAGAGAGGGGGGTGATGGGGTGAGAGGAGGAAGAAGCCCGAGGGCAGCCACTCCACTGCTTGCAGCATGCGGAATGCATCCAATGTGACCTCGCTCAGCTTCACCTGCGAGCATGAGAGGAGAGAGGGGGGTGATGGGGTGAGAGGAGGAAGAAGCCCGAGGGCAGCCACTCCACTGCCTGCAGCATGCGGAACGCGTCTAGAGTCACCTCGCTCAGCTTCACCTGCCGCCATAGGGAGTGAGCAGGTGGCGAGAGAGGGGGGCGAGTGAGCAGGCAGGTAGAGCAGGGACAGAAGGAGGGAGGGTAGGGAGTGTTGGGGGAAGGAGGGGGTGAGGAGGAGGAGGGGAGGAGGGGAACGGGCACAAGGCAAGGATGGGCGAGAGCGAGGAGAGGCTTGCAGTGCAAGGAACGAGGAGGAGAGTCTCAGCAAAGACCGGCAGTGGTGCCCTCCCCCTAGCTCATTCTGGTGGCGCCCCCCTTGAAGCGCACTGGTATCGCCCCCCTTGAAGCGCACTGGTATCGCCCCCTCCCTCCCCCCTCCCTCTTCCCCTCCCTCCCTCCCCTCCCCCCGCTCCCCTCCAAAGCACACCTCGAGGGGGTAGAAGCTGGTGAGCAAGACCTCCTGCAGGGACAGGGCGCGCTGTGGTGCCCCTCCCCTTCTTCTCCCCCGCTATCCACCCCTCCCCCCATCTGTCCCCCCTTCCCCTCAGCACCCTCCCCCTCCTTCAAGCGCACCTCAAGCGGGTAGAAGCTGGTGAGAACGACCTCCTGCAGGGCGAGGGCGCGCGGGGCGGTGGGCAGCATGAGCTTGGCGACGGGGGGCAGGGCGCCGGGGGGCGGGTCGAGCAGCACGCTGTAGCGCAGCGGACGCGGGCAGTCGGACGGCCAGTCCGCACGCAGGAAGCGCACCGCCTCGTGCACCACGCCCTTCCACTCCACCGCGTCAGATGCCTGGGGGAGGGGGGAGGGTGAGGGAAGGGAAGGGAGGGGGAAAGTGGGTGGGCGAGTCGGGTGGGTACGGGGGAATCACACTGCCTCGTGCACCACGCCCTTCCACTCCACTGCATCTGATGCCTGAGAGGGGGCGGGGAGGGGAGGAGGAGGGGCGAGTGGGCGCGTGGGAAGGGAGAAAAGGGGAAGGGTAGTGAAGGGACAGCAATGGCCAGCGCGTGGCATGGCACGGAGGCAGAAGGAGGGGCGAGAGCATGCAGCGCAGAGGAGCGAGCGTGGGCAGGGGGCGAGGGGGGGGCAATGACACCTGGAAGGAGCGCGAGTAGTCGTCAACGGCCATGCGCAGCTGCCAGAGCAGGTGAGGGGACCGGCATGGTTACCACTGGTTACCGCATGGTTACCGGGCACAGGGAGGCGAGGGGGCACCTGGAAGGAGCGCGAGTAGTCATCAACGGCCATGCGCAGCTGCCAGAGCAGGTGGCGCAGCATGTCTCGGCGCCCCAGCAGCACACACACCACCGTGAACCGCGCCAACCACCTCAGCTGCTTGTGCGCCACCGCTGCCTCAACGCGCGCTGCTTCTCTGAAATACTCGCGCCTGGAGGGTGTGGGGGGAGAGACAGGCGGGGAAGGTGGAAGGAGAGACAAGGTTGGGGTGATAGGCAGGCGATGGGGGAAGCAGTGGGAGAGGATGGACGTATGCAATTGATTAGGCAGTCAAGGTAGTGATACGGAACACGGGGAGAGGAGATTAAGAATGTGGGGGAACACGGAAGGAGGAAAGAAGAGTGCCATAGCATAACTGTGAATGCTATAGTTAGAGTCACACCTGTGAATGGCATCGTAGAATATGAACGCCTCTAGCAGGTAGCTCGCGTCGCCCGTGCGCAAATAGTAGTTGTAGTACAGCTGCCCTATGCGCGACGCAATCTCTCCTATCTCCCACCGCCTGCCCGCCAATCACGGCGCATACACGGCAGAGCGGGAAACGCAGACGAGAGAGGGAGATTTTGACGCGAACACGGGTGCAATCGACTATTTTTGCGCGCATGGGCGGAAGGGGGAATCGCAATGGCAAACGGCGCAGCGCGGCACGTACTTGAGGCCCATCTCGACGAGGCGCGCGCGGTGCTCTTGCTGGAAGCGCCAGAGGCGCGAGTAGACGCTGAAGGCCTTGTGAAAGTGCGCCTCCCACCGCTGCCGCCCGTACAGCGGCAGCTCGCGCAGCCGCGCGAACTTGCCGTACGCCTTCTCCAGCAGCGCGCGGTACTGCTCCGCCACCGCCGCGCTCGACGCGCCCGCGCTCGTTGCAGGCGCGCTCGCTGCAGGGGCAGTGGCGGCGGCGGAAGTGGAATGCGGCATGGCGGCGGAGGGAACGGGCGCAGTAGGAGCTTCTAAGGGAGTGGGGGGCGCGGCGGGGTCGGTGCTTGGAGCGGAAGGGGATTCGGTGGAGTCTGGGGCATGCGCGGTTGGGGCATCGTCATGAGGCTTGGCAGGATTTGGCGGCGACGAATGCGGCATGGCAGCAAGTCGCGGCAAGTGGGAGATGTGGATTCAGAAGCCAGTGGCAAGGATGCTGAGAGGTGCGCTGGACAGAAGTTCGTCTGCAAGCAGGCTCCAGTTTCGTTAAAACGAACAGCTTATTAACAAAGGTTGCTTATGATACATGGGGAGCATGCGGTACTGTCCAAGCCATCTTAAAAGGCAACACTCAATTCGATCCGAGGCAATAAATTACAGAAGCACCGCAAGGGACACAACTAAGCACCCAATCCCCGCAAATGCCTCAGACAAGGTCAGTATTGGGCGAGGGCACTGGGCACTGGGCTTCCAGAGAGAGGGCTTGGCTTGGATTGGAAGGCAGATAAGTAGTGCGGTGAAGGGAGGATGCGGGAAAGAAAGCAAATAAAGATGGAATGGGGGGTGCTATAGCCGTCAGATCAAACAGAACGAAACAATGGCTGCAGCAGCGGAAATTTCCGCTGCGACTGTGCGTGTGGGAGCGAGTGTCAGCTGCATTTCAGGCGGCACCACGGGTCCTGTCGCCTCCAGGTGCCACCCAGCCCAGGCCTCATATTTATCACTACGGCTCTACGGTATCGCATAACGCGCAGAGATGCGCCTCAGATCTGGACGGTGGTCGGCGCAACCTTGCCCGACTCCACCCGCTGCAGAGAACCCACCCCCCCGCCCATCCCCTCTGCGCCTGCGCTCTTGCTGCCGCGCACGGCGCGGTGTCCGCGGGTCCTCCGCGGGCTGCCGCGCTCCCCCAGGTACGCCCTCCCCCAGGGCGAGCTCGCCCATTTCGACTCCGCCGAGCGCGCCTGGTACCCGTCGAAGCTCAGGCACCGCGGCACGCCCGTCGGCCCTTGCTGACGGATCACCGGCTCCGCTGCCGCGTTGCCGTCAAAAGGGCCGCGGAAGAAGTCGGCTGCCGGCCACGGAGACTGCGAGTCGCCGGGGGACCGCTGCTCTGCCGCATTTCCCGCATCCAGCGGCAGGACTGACGGCAGTGAGTCCATCGTCGCTGCGCGCTCCGTGGAAGCTCGGCGCAAACCGCGTCCGCTGGAGGCGGGGGCTCCGTGCGGACGCTCCGCGTCGTCCTCCTTTGGGCTGCGCCGCGGGGCCGCCCATGGCGGTGTCTGCCGGGGGAAACGGATAGAGGCGGGACGAGCGTGAGTGAGAGACAGAGAAGTGAGGAAGCGGATGAGACACACTGATCACGATATGAAATAAGATGAGACGATACGAACCAAGACGCGATGGGGCAAGACGCGAGGACACGAAACAGGCGGAGACACGGCATACCTGGAGCGGAGTTGGGGGTTTGTGTGATAGTGGACCCGCCATAGTGGCGATTCGCCTCACGGTTCACACGGAGGGTGGCGCCGCGAGAGAGCTCTTAGGTAAGCAGGATGTTTGTTGGCCGACAAAAACGTACACAGAACCCTAGAAAGGCCGTGACTACGACGTGCTGGCTGTGTGCGGACTTGGATTGGAAGGGTATCGTAGCGTGCTAGTGGTGTGGCGCACACAGAGGGCGAGGTGAGGGAGGAGCAATGGAGGAGGTGTTGTGTCATCATCGCCCGCCTCACTGGATGCCGCGTGAATCTGGCGACAACGCCTCGCCTTGATGACACGCCACGCCGAGCCAGTCTCCGCCTCAGCTACCAGCAACAATTGAATTTGTACAAATTGGCGTTGTTTACCCGAAAATGGTGCTGGTTTTGGGGCTATCCAGTAGAGACTTCCGGAACTGTAGATTGTAAGAAAAGGCTCCGAAACGCCTGGATGTCTTGAATGGAAGAGGTTTTTTTCTAGCCACGGTGACTCTTTCAGTCTGTCGAGTAGATTTGTTCTCGGGGAGGCGAAACAAATGAACTGTAACGGAACTGACCCTGGGTGGAGCCTGGATGGTCTCCGAGCACACGCACCTGAGTCTGAACGCCCACACTATGCAGCCTTCTGTCGCACAGTCGCAGACCCGCTCAGCGACGGGGAAAAGGTCCCCGAGCGATCCACCAAAGCACGAATGAATGGCGGATGCAACACGCTTTCCCCCTCTTGTACTGCTTTGTCGTTTCCCACATCACGCGCAGCAGAAAAGGACCCCAGGCAATACGGGGTGGTTGAGCGGGAAGAGAATTGTGTACATGTAAAAGCTACTCCTGTAGAAAATAACACTGCATTTCCAGCGACCAGTTACCATCTCCTGACCTAGTCTCCAGGGACCAGTTACCATCTCTTTTGGCTGCTTTTCCAGTTAGCTCCTGAGATATGTCAAATAAGAACCTTATGACATGACATCAACCACAAGTTCTGTACAGATTACCTTGACTGCGCAAGGGGACAAAATTGCTTTCAATCCCAATTATTCGAACGTCAAGTGCTGCGCATTAACAAGCGTAGCATATGCACCTCCCTGTGCCGCGAGCTGGGCGTGAGTACCCCTCTCCACGAGCCTACCGGCCGCCATCACCACGATCTGATGTGCCGCCTGCACTGTGCTCAGCCGATGCGCTATCACCAGCGTTGTGCGGCCCTGAGAAACGGGGGAAAGGGGAAGAGGGCATGTGTGACATGCATGGTAACGGAACTTGCACATCCAGGCCACTGAACAACAAGCCATGCGCCATGGCTCCAGGTTCGGTACATCCCTTGCCCTACCATCAGCTAATCCTCCTTCCCCTCACCTGCATGAGCCCTTCCAGTGCCTGCTGCACGAGTCGCTCTGACACGCTGTCAAGTGCACTCGTGGCCTCGTCCAGAATCAGAATCGGCGCGTCCTTCAGTATCGCCCGCGCTATTGCCAGCCGCTGCCAGAGGAAGAAGGGTAGGAGCGAGGGGTGTATATAGTGGAGCATGAGCTAAGCACATTCATGTACACAGGAGAAAAGTCGTGCACGCGGGATGACACGGCATGGGCCAGCACGGAGGAGGCGAGGGTGATTACAGAGTGCTAGCACAAAGCAGACAGCACAAAGCCCCCAGGTAGTGCGAGCACAAGGCAAGGGAAAAAAACTCGTCGGTGCTGCACGGGCACAGGCAGGTGAAAGCAAGAGCGTGGGTGGGAGGGTGGGTGGGTGGGTGGGTGGGTGGCGCCTCACCTGTCTCTGCCCGCCACTGAGTAGCCCACCCCTCTCCCCCACCATCGTGTCGTAGCCCTGCCATGTGCACACGAAAGACAGGTGAAGGGGAGCGAAAGAAGGGAAGGAGAGTGGAGGGGTGGCGGTGAGAGGGGTGGCGGTGAGAGGGAGATGGAGTTTTCTAAAAAGCACGTGCCAACACGGATTGATATGGCAGCCGATGGGAAGAAATGGTACAAAACAGCTAAGGCACGTCCACGGTGTCATGCGCATGTGCGTGCGGGCACGGGAAGGTACAGCATGGCATGGCAAGAGCAAGCACGGCATGGCATGGATGGAAAGAGCGCGCACCTGGGGCAGCTTCATGATGAACTCGTGCGCGTTGGCAGCCTTCGCAGCCCTGATGACGTTGGCCTCTGGCACGTCAGCATCAGGGAGGCCGTAGGCAATGTTATCGCGCACGGACATGGCGAAGAGCACGGGCTCCTGGCTGACGAGGGAGACGGCGCGCGTCCACTGCGTGCGGTCGAACGATGCTATGTCCTCGCCCGCCAGTGATATCGTGCCCGCTACCGGCTGGTGGTGCACTCAAGCACGCATGCACAGAGGAACACACACAGACACACACACACACACACACAGACACACACACACACACACACACACACACACACACACACGCACGCACGCACGCACGGGCCCACACAGACGGTCAGTGAGAGGGGGAGGGATGAGCAGGGCATGGTGAGGGGAGGAGAAAGGTAAGGAACAGAATGGGTTCGTGCACAATGCAGGCAGCAACATGTGAGTTTTTTTAGAATTCTCAAAAAAAATAAGCAGCATGTGAGCAACAGCAGCATCGCTACTGTACTCTTCGCATGGCACGTGCATGGGGCACGGCCATGGCAGCACATGCAGGGAGGGAGGAGCTGTGGCCCATGTCACCGCACCACACCGAAGCGCACCTCATAGAACCGGGAGAGCAGTTGCACGACGGTGGACTTGCCCGCACCGCTGCCGCCCACGAGCGCTGTGACGCTGCCACGTGGCAGCACGAGATTGATGCCCTTTATCACCTCCACTGCCGCCCGCTGCGGATAGGCAAAGTGCACATCTGTGAACGATCGAAGGTGGGGGAGGAGAGAAGTGGGGAGGGGAGGGGAGGAAAAGGGAGGAATGGGATTAGAGAAGCAACCAATAAATTGTGACTTGCAGGCAGAGGTTGACGGATGGTGAACAGCTGACAGTGCACGGTACAGCCCAGTGACCTACCACTGAACTCAATGTCGCCCGTCCACGCCAGCTCACACGCTGACAACCCCTTCTCACGCCCCACCACCGCACCATTCCCTCTCTGCACCGCAACCAGCCCCTCCTTTTCCTCCACTTCTCCCGCTGCCCTTCCTGCCGCCCCCACGGCAGCCGGCTCGGGGCAAGGGGTGGAGGGAGGGAGAGATCAGCACGGTGAGGTCCGGGAGCGGTTCGGGGATGGAGAGGTTGGGTTCTGGGGGCGAGGAGGAGAGGAGGGCGTTGATGCGCGCCACTGCCGAGAGGGCGTTCTGTATGTCCGCCATGGTGTTCACCAGCCCCTGGATCTGCAAGGGGGGGGGGAGAGGCGGAGAGGGGAAAGGTGGAGGAGAAGGAGAGAGGGGGGGGGGGGGGGGGGGGGCGGGTTTAGGCATGAGTGGTGCAACGGCAAGCAGGCATGTTGCAGAGAGGGCGTTGTGCGTCTGCCATGGTGTTCACCAGACCCTGGATCTGGGCGGAGAGAGACGGGTGGGGAAAGAAGGGGAGGGCAAGGGAGATGGGAATATCGTGGGTGGTGCGAGGGCATGAAGGCATGGTGGCATGCACTAGGAGTCCACAGGGGGAGGGACAAGGGCTGGCAGACTGTAAACCACATAGGCATGCGTGTACAGGGCAAGGGAGGGGGGAGATGGAAGGAATGGAGGTGCTATGGTTTGCAGAACAAATGAGACAGATTGCAGCGAGGAGGGGTGCGGAATGGAGGAGAGCAGCGGAATGGGAGGGGGAAGGGGAGGAGAGTGGGGGGGAAGGGAGGGGTGTGGGATGGGACGGGGGGGGAGGAGAGGGGAGGGGAGGGGAGGTGGGGGCAGGGCAGGGCAGGGGAGCAGGGAGGGGAAGGGAGAGGACGGGAGGGAAGGCGAGAGGAGGGGGGAGAGGAATAAAGCGGAGGGAGGGGAGGGGAGGGGAGGGGCTTACTGCGAAGGTGAGGAGGAAGGTGTAGCCCACGAAGGCCAGCACCGTGCCCGCTGGCATCACGCCCTGCAGCGCATGGCATGGCATGCGGTGGGATGGGGTGGGGTGGGGTAGAGTGGGGTGGGTTGCATGGGATGGATGGGTAGGGTGGGGTGGGATGGGATGGGGTGAGGTGCACGGGAGGGGAAGGGATGGATGGGATTGGTTGGGTTGAGGTGCATGGGAGGGGATGGGGAGGGATGGGGTGCACAACACAGCGTAGAATGGGGTGTGGCAATGGGCCGGCTCAGTGTAACGCGATGAGAATGGATAGAGTGGGAAACTGCGGTGCTGCAGAGCAAAGACCAGCACACACGCTTTAACTCGCCCTCACTCACACAATGCTGCATTGAATCTCCACCCTGGAACCTCCCTCCGCCCACTCCCCTGCCAGTGTCACCATACCCCGATCCCCCAATCCCCCAAAACCCCTCTCCGCATTGGCACACCCCATCCCAACGCGACTACCATCTCCTTCCCCCCTCCCACCTTTCTCTCCACCGTTTCCCTGCCTGTGCTTCAGGCAGCACGCACCATTTGGACTTTGTGGCCGCCCAAGATGTAGACACACATGAGGGAGATGTACACGCAGCCACGTGTCAGCGCCTCATTGGTCGACTTGAGCACGCTCAGCCGAGTGCCCGTCTCCTGCGCCTCCGCCACGTAGCCTGCAAACCGCGCCAGCTGCCGCGCCTCGCCTCCAAACGACCGCACCTGGGGGGGGATGAGGAGAGAGGGGTGAGGGTACGGGGTTTTTCCAGCAGTGGGGGGGGGAAGGGGGAGGGGAAGAAAGGAAAAGATTTGGCAAGCAATCACTCACGCATCCCCGTGCGTGCATCTGCTCGGTTGTGTCAACTGCCACGTGATCAAACCCCAGCTGCAGCGTCTCCAACTCATAATGCAGCACCTCAATGTGAGCTCGAGAGGCGGCAGCACGAGCGAGAAAGCGGGAGCGGGGACGGGTGATGGCTTGGAAGGTCTCGGCGGCGGCGTCGGTGATGCGCTCGGCGGCGGCGTCGGTGATGCGCGCCTGGGTGGCTGCGCGCGAACACGGGCATGGTGCCGCGCTTGTAGATGCCCGCCATCAGCGATATTCCCACCGCCAGCAGCGAAAACACCGGCGCTAGATCCGGCGCTATGAAGAACAGAATCACCAGCGTCGACACCACCTGCCGGGTATGGGGAGGGGCGGGGGGGGGCGCGGAAGAGCGCGGAGGGGCGGTGTGTGGGGGAAGAGCAGGGAATTGGGCATAGCTTGGTCGTGGGGGTACTGCTGTTGGAGCGTGGCAGTGATGGGAGAGGACGCATGAGGATGCGCGTGTGGTGTGGGATGGCGGTGACTGGGCTGAGGGAGGCATCGCTCGCTCTCTGCGCATCTCTCTGCGTCCTAGTCTCTCTGCGCGTTCCCTTTTACCCGCGCTGTGGGTTGCGCACCTCGCAGATGGAGCGGAGGCCGCGGTCGCGCGTGACGTTGTCGGTGACGGCCTTGTCCATGAACGACAGCTCCGACGACAGCACGCCGCTCAGCCCCGCCACCTTGTGCGCGTCGTAAAACGCCACCTGCGCCCACCGCGCAAGGGGGGGGGGGGGGGGGGGGGGGGGGGGGGGGAAGAAGGGGGAGGGGAGCGGAGGGGTTGTGGGGGATTCATGAGAATGACGCGAGGTATTTTCGACGTAAACGGAAGAAGCTTTCAACTTTCCGTTTACTGGAGAAGTTTTCGTGGCGACTCCGTCCTTGGTGAGCGCGGCGCGATTTAATTGTTTATTTTTTAAATGTACCTTCTGCAGCAGAAGGCGGCGGAAGACGCGGACCCTGACGGCGGCCATGACGGCCTCCCACACGGCGGAGAGCGACGACACGAACAGCAGCGTCGCCGCCGGCTCCAACACGTAGATCGACGCGATCGGCAGCAGCAGCTGCGCCAGCGGCACGGGCACGGGCGACACGAGCGCCTGCACGAAGTTACCGTTGATGCGCGGCAGCACGACGTTGCACGTCGTCCCCGCGATGAGACCCACGGCCAGCCCGACCAGCCGCAGCTTGTGCCGCAGAACCAGGCCGACCACGAGCTGCCACGTAATCACTGGCGACGCCGCCTGCTGTTCTTTCCGCGGTTCCTCTGCGCGCGAATCGCGCAAATTGTCCTCCGCGGGCTCTTTCTCTTCGCTGCTAAACTCCTGCGCGCTACAGTACCCGTCCTCCGCCTCCCCCTCGCACTCCTCTTCCTCCGCCACGACTACCGACGCGGCTCCATTTCCTTGGGCAGCAGCTTGAAAAGCAAGCCGCCATGGTCTTAAATTGGCACGTGTAAGGTAAGGGGGTCGAGAGCTCGAATCGCGGCCTAAACAAGCACGCTGTCGTGGCCTCGCTGAAAACGAGTGTCTTTGCCTGTGCGATGCAAAAGAACCCGGTACGGGGTTCTCCGTTACTAAGCTATGATGTACACATGCTCGTTTCGACTCAGCGCTACGACAGGTGCTCAGCGCAGATGCAAGAGCTGGACGAGCAACAGCGCTGGTGACAGCCATGGCCCGAGTCGTCCCAGTTTCGCGAAGGTTGGTACTCTAGCGCAGCGCCTAAGCCAAGAAAAGGACCGGCTTTCCTATGACCTGGCTCAAGAATACGCCTGGCGCTAATAGACGAGTATTTCAGTCGTGATTTTCTATACTCCTGCGTCAGCGACCGCGAGGAAGAGCCACTCGGGTAAAATGCGGCGGCGAAACTCAGTTCAACTGCACGAAGAGGACTTTATGCTCTAATCGCGTGCGCGAAGCAGAGGCTTTATGGCCTAACTCCGCTGTGGTGCCTGCACGGTGCAGAACGGGCGATGAAAATAAATGTAGATATAAATGTTTATGCTAGTGGTTGTTCGGAACTGGTGCGGGAAGAGCTGAAGGTTGCGGGAGCAGGTGCGGAGAGGACAGGTTGGGTTGGGTACTCCTCCCTGAATCCTGATTGGCCTTTCAGCGCCTCTTTGTCAGGGAGAGGACGCGAAGCAAGCAGCGTTTGCCCTGGATTGGTGGCAGATTTGCAATTTGGTGCATGCAGCGGGGAATGGCAGTGGGGGGAAAGGCGGAAGGGGTTCTGTAAGGAGTGACGTGGGCGATCCGAGGTCGACAGCGTGGTACACGGCCAGAAGCTTTGTGGGGCTGGTATGGGCTTGGTGGCGCACAAGCACCTGTACGCGATTTTGGTAGATTCGGGATGGCGACCCTGTCTGAGTTCGACGAGTTTGCGAAATCACTTTACGAGCACACGCAACGCGAAATATCTTGCAGCGAAAAAACGGAAAAGCTTCAACGTCACGACAACCACCTCCCATCTCAAAAGCCAGCATACATTCCCAAGGCCAGGCATACCAACAAACCAACCATCGCGGGTGCAAGCGCTGGTCGTGATTTGTGACGTCTCAAAACACTTCTTCAATCTCCCTGGTCTCATCACGGATAATAGGTATGCGACGATTGCTATCGTCGCCGCTAAGATTATTGCCACGCGACGTCGCCCTATCCACGCATTGCTTGCCCTCAGTCGCCTTCATGCCAGTTCAGACGCGATCGTCTCTTCGCCGAGCCTCGCCTCCGGAATCCCAGCAACCGCCATGCATCCCGCCGCAAAAACCGCTCGCTGCCACGCGTCCAGCCACGAACACCGACACGTCACTCGCTCGGCGCGATTCACTCGATGCATTTTGCCTCACGTCGCCCCCCGCTCCCCGTCAATCGCGCTCATCGCAACCAGCTCGCTCTGCTCGTATTCTCTCCAGCAGCGCACGTGGGAGCTCCGCCCGCCCACTGACTCCCATTAGCGACATCGAGGATCTCGGGGGGGAGGTACCACGTGGCGTGATGGGAGAAACACGTGACAGGGAGGGTGGAAAACCGGAGGCGCAAGAGTCGGAGGAGGCGAGTAGCGAGGAGGGAGAGTCTGACGAGTGCGAGGAGGGCGTGAGGGACAAGGCAGCGACGCGCCGACGGAGACCAGCCGCGGGTACCGCGTCTAGGAAGAGTGGAGTCGCGAAGAGATTAAAGGCGGAGGCAGGAAGGGGGAGAGGGAAAACGGCATCCAAGGAGGAGTTGGAGATTAAGTACGGGTTCAGCGAGGAGGAGATCGTCGCGGCGCGTTCCGCATTGATGGAATGGTACGACGCGAATAAACGTGACCTGCCGTGGCGAGCGGCGGCAGGGAGCGAGAAAGCGGAGCAGATGGGGGAGGGGCGCAACGATGGCATGGAGGCACAGGAGGTGCGGGGAGAGGAATGGGGGGAGCGGGAGGAGCGGGAGGAGCGGGAGGAGCGGAGGGCGTACGGCGTGTGGGTGAGCGAGGTGATGCTGCAGCAGACGCGCGTGGCAGTGGTGGAGCCCTACTTCCGCCACTGGATGGCGCGCTGGCCCTCCCTCCCCCTCCTCGCTGCAGCCTCCCTCGAGGTCCCTCCCCTTCCGACATGCCGCGCTTCCCCCCCACACGCCCCCCCCCAAACGCCCCTGCCCGCGCTCCATCCGCTGCGTACTCAGTCCTGTGTCCCTGTGCTGCCTGTCGTCTGCGCCTCTCTCACGCCCCATGCCCCACCCATGCCACATGCGCCCCACGCCCTTGCTGTGTGCTCATCCCGTGCCGTCGCTCTCCTCTCCCCACTGTCCGAGCAGGAGGTGAACGCCATGTGGGCGGGGCTGGGCTACTACCGCCGCGCCAAGTACCTGCTGCAGGTAACCCCCCGCTTGCCCATGCATCACACGCGCCATGCACTGCCCTGCATAGCCGCACACAGCCCTCAACGCATCCTATTCGTTCCCTCCGTGCCATGGCGGTGCTTTACAAGCGCCAGCACATCCCTCGCTGCACTCCCCCTTTGTTTCCCCAGTCTCCTAGTGACTCTCGCCCCTCCCACGCTTCCCTCCTCCTGTTCTCCCTGTCGCCCTGCAACACAGCAGCAACAGCACCGCGACAGGGCAGCAGCATGCGTGAGCTCATCCCCCATCGTCTCTCTCTCTCCCCTCCCACGCGCCCTCCCGCCCTCTCCCCACATGGCCCTGTGGCAGGGGGCGCAGCACATGGAGCAACAGCACGGGGGCCGCATGGCGCGCACGGCCAGGGAGTTGCAGGCAGTGCCGGGCATCGGTCCATACACCGCCGCTGCTGTCGCCTCCATCGCCTTCCGCCAGGTCTGCATGCGTGCAAGCGGCCAGGGAAGAAGTGGAGGGTTGGGGAGGGGGGAGTAGGATGAGGGGTAAGTGGGGAGGGTGTACAGGGGAAGCGTGGGGGGACATTTGAGACTGGACTGGATGCGAAGGGGACGCCATGTTGAAACGTGTCTGAGGCTTGGTGGAATTTTTGTTTCAGGAGCAGTGAGACCAGTCACCTCTCATACCTGCTCCACCATCTCATGCACCCACTCCCTCCTCACACTTTCTCTTCCCCACCCCTCCTTAGCATGCCTGCATGCTAACACACCTCCCCTCCTCCACCCCCCCCTCTTTCCCCAGCCAGTGGCAGCGGTGGATGGCAATGTGATGCGCATCATGGCGCGCCTGAGAGCCGTGCCGCTGCCCATGCATGAGAGCGCTGCCACGTCCCTCTTCTCCCACCTCGCCTCCCAACTGCTGCACCGCGCCCGCCCCGGGGACTTCAACCAGGTGGGCGCACTGGGTGGGTTGGGTGGAATGCTGTTGAGGTGGGAGTTTAAACTGCCAATCTACGACTACACACTATCGCTCCAATCTCACTCAAGATGTCCCTCACCATGCTAACACTGTCCTGTATGTCACAGTCACAATTCATTCTTTCGCCGTGCTCTTACCCACTTGCCTCTTCCACTCACCCGTTCACCCATTCACCCGCTCACGCCTGCAGCCCTTCTCCCAACCCCCCAGGCGCTGATGGACCTGGGCTCCCTCGTCTGCTCGCCCTCCTCCCCCTCCTGCTCCACCTGCCCCCTCTCGCCGCACTGCCACGCCCTCGCACTGCAGCAGCAGGGGGCACGCATGGGGGAGGGGGGCGAGGGCAGAGAGGGCGAGGGGCAGCAGGGCGAGGGGGCAGTGAGGGTGACGGATTTTCCTGTGCGCAGGGCCAAGGCAGCGCCCAGGGAGGAGTGGGTGGCCGTGTGTGTCGTGGAGAGAAGAGGCGCGGCGGCGCCAGCACCGGCAGCATCGCAAGCATCAGAGGTGTCAGCAGGTGCCTCTGCCAGGAAAGGCAGGCGCGCACACGGCAGCACCAGCAGCAACCAATCTAGGATTGAGGAACCTTCTCAGTTCCTGCTGGTGCAGCGGCCACCTACGGGACTGCTGGCAGGGCTGTGGGAGTTCCCCTCTCTGGTTGTGTCCTCGGGCACAGGGAAGCCATCAGAGGTGCAAAGGAGGCGGGCTGTGAAGCAGCTGCTGGGCCAGATGCTTCCCTGTGTGACTATAGAGGGGTCTGGACAGCTCAGCTTGGAGGGGAGAATGCTGCAGGAGGGGGAGAATAAGGTGGAGGGGAGCAAGTGGCGTGTGATAGAGGAGCATGATGTGGGCGAGACCTTGCATATTTTCTCCCACATACACCAGCATATGCTAGTCGAGAGAATTGTGATCGTAGAGGGAGTCGAGGCAGGAGATTTGGTTATCTGGGAGTGCAACGCAGGAAACGCAGTGCCCAGATCGAAAGGGAAGCAACTTGGTTGCCAGGAGAATAATAAAGGTGCCTGCTTACTACCAGTCCATCAGCAATGGTGCTGGCGTAGTGAGAAGGAAATCGAGGAATTGGGCCTTTCGAGCGGTGTCAGAAAGGTGAGTGCCATTTTCACTTGTTCGCCGTTTTTTTCCCTTTTTTGCTACAATACAGCCAACTTCTAAGTGTTTACTGTTCTCCCGTTCTCTTTTGTGAAGGTGTGGGATATGCTTCAAGATTATACGCTATAAGACTATCCGTTTCATCTTATTATGCGGCTGCTTAGAACGAGACGCGTCTAATAAACTGGGTTCATCATTTCGGGCAGTTTCGAGTGGTTCTGGTTGTCGTCCACGTATACGATGGATAGCAACCATGGAATTCACCAAGTTGTGGATATTTTTGTTAATGATGCGCAACGCACACGATTCGTTGCAGCCAATCACGGAAGAACGGGAAATCTTCTCGACAACCGTGGATGATGGCAAATTTGTCTCTTTGTCGAGTGGTACAGATGCGAAAGCTGCCAGCTGGCGAGCAGTTTGGATAGGGTCCCTTTCGGCCAAAACACCCTTGCTCCGCGGGTGAAACATAAAACTGTCGAGCCAAACACGATCAGATACATGATCCCACCCAGCAACAAATTCTGTTTGCCTCCCTCTTTCGGAACATAATTTTGTTTGAAGAGTTATATGGGTGCTGGTTCAAAAGAATGGCCGTGGTTTGCCCCGTCCTCACTTTACTGTACCCTTCTCACAAAAGGTGTGACTTGGTGGAAGAAAAATGTGGTGATGAAGCAAAGCAGATATTCATCCATCGTACATTTCAAGGGCTGCCTGCCGCACCGCTTCCTTGCCTGCCATACCTGCCCTGCCATTTTCCCCCCTAGCCGCATCCCCGCCATTCGTCGCATGCACGCCTTCATCTCCCCATCCCCTTCACACAAATCCGCCATCCAGTTGCGAGTGAGGGCGAATGAATAGAGTGCTTGGTTGGCTGTCCAGCTGCCCTTCCCGTTTTTCTCTATCACCGCATCCCACCGCTTCTCATCCTTCTGGAGATCTATCCAATCTCTGTCGTGACGTGAAGCAACCGCACCGCATCACAGCCTCACTCACAGCCTTCCTCAAGCTGATCCAGTCCGGTATACAAGCGCCCCTCCAACATTAGCAGGTTACTTTTCTTCCTCGCCTTACCACTACATCCGATCCCCTCGTCATCCCTTTCCCCTCCGTGTACTGCCAGCACACCAAGGAGCAGTGTCACTGGCTCCTGCCCAGCCGCGTCCTCTCCTTTCCACTCGCATCGGCTGTTCGCGTCGATTACCAGTCATTCGCCGTTATTCGCGAACTCCGCCATGGCGCCCAGTTTCGGTCGTCCCTGGTTCGCCATTTTCAACACGAATCCCGTGCAGGCCAAGGAAGAGAAGCCCCCAATGCCGCCGTCGATCGACTTTCAGCCGTCGATTCGCGTGAGTCAGTTCGGCGGGAAGAGCCAGCGGCAGCTCGCAGGCGTGTCCAGCAGCCCGCTCGTGCAGGACCACGTCGCCGCCGTCGCGATGCGCGCCCGCCTCGAGATGCGCAAGGGATTGCCGCAGAGCACCGTGCGCCTTCTCGATCCTCCGACGATGTCGCTGTCAAGCGCCGCCCCCCGAACCAGTCTTCCGCCGGTGGCTTCCGCCACACTAACCCCCCCGCTCAGCGCCAACACTGAAGCCGCTTCCGGAAGATCG